TTTGTTACAGCGCCGTGCGGTTTGAGAAATTCAGCGAAATGCAACGCAATTCATGAACTAATATAAACAGTTTACCTTAAGAGATTCTAAACTGATTTATTATAATTATTAATAGTTGATATATTTATTTTAGTTATTAATGCATCTTCTCCAGGAGAACAGTACAGCATAGAAAGCCCTGTAAACTTAACAATTTACGGTTAAGCATGCCATGGTGACTAGAAACTTTACTGATTAGTACGCTGTGTTAAATGGAATCTTTACTAATCAGTACGCCGTGTTAACTGGAAACTTTAATGATTATCACGCCGTGTTAAATGGAAACTCTACCGATCAGTACGCTGTGTTAACTGAAAACTCTACTGATCAGTACGCTGTATTAAATGGAAACTCTACTGATCAGTACGCCGTGTAAACTGGATGATTTACTGATTTATAAGCCGTGTTAACCGGTCAATTTATTGATTAGCAGACCTTGTTAAATGTACAACTTTCTTATAGGCACGCTGTGTTAGCTTGGAAATTAGCTGATTAACACACGATGCAGCCTGCTGAATAACCTGATTAACACCGAATTTTGAATGAGAAATTTACACACGAATCAATCCTGTAGACTCATTAATTTGATATATTTTGATTTTTTCGAAAATTCTCAGAATGTCTATTTTTATATGTGCTTGTATAATCTTATATGGGACGGTCAATAAACAGCTCATCTGCTGAAACGTCGTTCACACCACCCTCGTTTTAGGAAGCTTTAACCACATTTAAGCCATTACATTAAAGCTTTATAGAAAAACCAAAATTTTAAAAAAGAAAGTAACAATTTTTTGAATACGCTTTGTTGGCGCTCTACATCTCTAGTTTATAACTTAAAAAACACTGGCATTGGTGAAAATTTCTTTATTTCTTAAGTGGTAAAATTATCGAGTTCTTTTCCTCCTTAGCTACTGATATGTATAGGATTATAAATAGTGATGTTGGCATTGTAACTTGAAGAACACACCGATTTATCTGTAACGTGTAACGGCTGTTTATTATTTTCGCAGTCATACCTTCTTTCACTTCTATGTTTTGTTTGAGTGATCACTCTTTATTTTCGTTATATTTATTTTAGTTTATAATGCATATGTTCGAGTTATCTTTGATTAGAAGGTGGCTGACTCAGTTTAAGGGGACCGTCTAACCTAAATTGGAGATAGCCTATAACTCCTAAAGTTATTATCCGATCATCATGAAACTTCACATTCAAACGTAAAATGTAAAAATAAAAACATTTTACTTCTATGAATTTTTCGAAAAAATTGATAGAAAACGTGATATTCATAGAAAACGGAAAAATAACGGTTACTATAGAAAATCTATCTCCTCCCACAAATATCAGGGCCTAAAAACTGCCCTTCTTTGGGAAGCTGTCACGAAATCATTTTTTGACGCACAGGGATGATTCTGGTACCGTTGAATGCGTTGAAAAGTGAGCTTTAAGATGAGCCCAAAAAGTGGAAAACGCCTAAATTGAAAATTTTAGGTTAGACGGTCCCCTTAACTTTTCGGGTTTTACTTTTTATTTTGGCTCGACCACCATGGCTCTTCGAGCTTTTGCTTATTGCGAAAGTATATTTTCCTGACTTTTTTGAAGAACATGGAGTTTTAATAAGTTTAAACTGCAGCTTTATATTGGAGTCAGCCATCCAATCCTTCTAGCCTAATGTTTCCCTTTAAATGGCCTCCAAATTTCCTTTTGATGCCATTTAAAGATTTTAAGGTCGGTGCGAGGCAATAATCGATAACTACACGGATACAAATCTTCAGGTTCCGAATTATTTTAACTTACTAATAAATTTCTATTTGAAGCTATTTCTAACGTTTCTAATGAATAACAGCGACTCTGGAGGGCCCTTCAATCATTTTTTCGGATTTGAATATGCACCTAATTTATCCATTCAGATAGCTTTCTTGTTAAATGGTTAATTGGTAAATGTTCTTATTATATGTTAATTATTATCAATTATTGAAATTTTTGCACTATTACAGATTTACAGAATTGTAAATATTAAGGTTAGAGGTTCGTTATTTTTTTGCAGTTTTTGCAGGTTCAGTCGTTCGTATACGACAAACCTGAATTTACTTCGCTGCCAAGCAAATTAGTTTTACGCTCTATTTCCATCTTAATTTTTCTTCGTGGCCATGTGATAAACTTCAAAATAAACACTCATTTGTTTGCTGTTTTTGAATTAAGCCTGACAGCATTTAATGACTTTCGTTGAATACACATTAGTGAAATTTTATTTTTAATAGAAATCAATCGCCAACAATCATGTGAAAAAATTCCTTATTATAACTCCAAAAAAATTTCCACTGCAACCCTTTCATTACACGGCAATATCTTTATTTGGAAATTTCAAAGCTAAATTCCTCTTAATTGATCCAGAACTCTATTCGAAAACCCTATTCATTGAGGAATCATCATATATGAAAATAACCCGTCCCAGTCTTGCCTCACTTGTACCAAGCACCTCAACCAACAAGCCTCCTAGCTCAGAGGGTCTACTTTCAAAACTCGTTAGGTGAACGTAAGTACTTACGCTCTATTTTCTTGTCTATGATTGGTGGATTTTGCTTGAAAGGCCGTCAATGATTGGCTGATGAACTTACGATAGACATCAACGTGGACATCAACGTGGACATCAACTTGGACATCAACGTGGACATCAACGTGGACATGTTAAAATTGACCTCAGCACTCGACTGCGACATGGACAAGTACAATAAATATGTGGCATGAGGTGGTGAGACTGCGTGCCGTCATTAGATAAATTTGAATGCCATGAACACAAGAGAATAGTCCACTCGGCATGAATCCCTATAAATAAAAAAAATCCCTATCACAAATCAATTGTCAGACATGATATCAAATGAATGAAGTGGAAGCCCAGTTCGTGAATGCAAGCAATATTTATATGTAGAGAGCAAGCAAATATGAGTTAGTCAGGCATGCAATAAAAGCTCTGCGCACAGTAATGCTGCGTTATCTTAAATAGAAACAGACAAAAATTAATCTTTTAATTCGTGATCTATGGAAAGCACTTTACTTTCTTTGTTAAGCTTAAACTTTAATTAGATTATGAGCGAGACAGATATGAAAGATTTGCGATCGCAAAACATATATTACACCGACATATATAACAAATGTTAAATTCGGCGAGCATAACGATAATGTGACTTCATTAAATTGACATATCAACGAGAAGCCGCCATTGCAGGTGCGTGCATACACGGTATCGCGTTCCTATTCGGCGTTAGAAACTGTGATGATAACAATGATGTAGATATTCGAGCCCACCTCATTGTCCACACTGACGTTCATTTACTGACTGAGTTGTAACTATGGGTGAAATTGAACGTTGAATTAGTTCAGATTTGATAGATGAATTATATGTTTTAATGCTTTATTCAAATTTTTGTAACCCTAGCTGACTTCAAATTCGTTTTGGCTAACAATCTTCGCGGAATCTCCAAGAAATGCACAGAAAAAGCGTTTTTATATTTTTAACAAAGCAATGGTATTTAGCTAGAAAACTCGTAGTGCAAAATGACACCATGACATACAGTAAATGGCTGATTGGAGGTCGATTAAGTTATTTAATCTAAGAAGATATCATCTAAATATCATCTTAAGATATAAGTTATTTAATCTTCAAGAAATAAGCTATCTTGGCTTCGACAACGTACTGGGAGACATATGCATGAACAATTATAATTATTTCACTCATTCATTTCGTTCATGAGTGTTCACAATCCCTGTCCATTATAATTCCGTGGGTGCAAATAAAATCATAAACGGAAAGTATTTGTTTCGAATCATAAACTTGTTTCGTGAAATACTGTTTCATGGATTTTTCGGATTTTTTGCGTCCCTGTAAAAACTTACATTCAATATTTGAATCGCAAATCCACTTCCCATCAAAGTAATTTTGACGAATTAATGAGAAATAGTTGCAGGAAAATGTTTTGCATTACATATGATTACATCGAAATAATTCCATTATGACATTGATTTGTATTTATTCCTTTTAAGTTAATACGTTAAAGTATGTCACTTATGAGTATTTTATCGTTGCTTAGAGTATGTCACTTAACACGTATATGTCAATATAATCGAGTGTAGCAATCTCTTCTTTGTGTGGGAACACGCCGACACAGGCAGCTTAGAGGTCAGGCGATTGCCAGCATTTCTACGTATTCGGGGCATATTTCCTCGACCTTAAAGAAAGTAAATTACGTTACATTAGAGCAATTCTAAGTTACATAGAGTAATTGTTTGATTTAAGTAAATAAAAAGAAGGCGAGAATTTGCTATATATAATCGTAATATAAGAGAATAAATGTGAAGTTGTGTTAGTTATGTTAATTAGTTATGGATACTTAAATCAGCAATATGTTTAGTGCGCCAAAATTGCTTTACTAAATTTCTGCATACCGTTCCACATAGCTACAGATTTCCTTTTAATATTTTATGTTCATGTTGCATTTCTTTGTCCAGGTCATCAGCTGAACAGATGTGAGGTTCCCACGGCGATATGACGCACATCCCACAAGTTATCACGTCAACGTATTTATTTCCCACAAACACTACAATTCAGGTGCATTGTTCGTTCACACCCCTGCGTTAACATTTTCATCGTTAGAAAGTGCATTTTAATGAACTTATTTTCCGCGATAATATTTTTAGCATCATGCCGCAATAGTTGTCAATCAACTGTAGCAATAAAATTGTACGAAATGCGGTGATAATGCGTTGTTATAAATGCAGAAATAATGGGTAGTGACATGATTATGCGTCGTACGCCATTTACTTTTTCATGAGTGTTCCCCGAATTCTAGACTTTTCCTTGCCGAGATACCGAGGCGTGGGAGACCAGCCAAGGTTATCACAGAAGAGCAGGTGATAGAGATCTTGGATAAATAGCTTATAAATGCGCTCACTTCTTTACCTTTATTATAAGCGAGCAAAACGACCTGAAAAATGCTGAAAATTGTTCTCTCGATTGTCGTGGCGCTGGCATGTGCAGCCACTGCCGAGCTCACCGACGATTGCCTGGCATGCATGTGTTACGTAAGTCTTTTCCTCTTTATTTCCAAACTATTTCTGAAAAATAATAATAATAATAATAATAATAGTAATAATAATAATAATTGTAATAATAATAATAATAATAATAGCGGTTTCAGCGTTTAGTAGGCCGAAGGCCTGTCGCCGATTCTTAACGCCGCAGAACATTCACAGCATTTTGCGGTCTCGAACTCGCAACGCACTGCTACAATTCTGTTGTGCTTAACCGCCCGGCCTATTTGCCGATTCTGACCAGAAACTGGCGCACTGAGCTGGGAACGAACCCGCGCCTCTCTGCGCCAATCTTGGTACTCTGAACTTTAACCACTGGGTCACCCTGCCCAGTGTATTATGAGTTCAACAAAGATTTTCTGGTTGGCATGTGTGACGTAATTCATTTTCTTCTTTATTTCCAAAGTATTCCTGTGTTATGAGTTTCACAACGATTGCCTGGTTTTCCTCTGTAACGAAGTCATTTTCTTCGGCCTTTTCAAATATTTCTCTGTAGTGAGTTGCACAAGGATTGCCCGAAAGGCAAGTTCTTTGCAAGTCATTTTCGTTTGGATTTTCAAAGTACTTCTAAGCTGTAATTTCCTTTATAACTTATGAGATGGGTTTCTGAAATCCACTATTAGCCTTATATGCAACCATCAAACGAACATTCTACGACAGATTTACTATTTTATTTATTATCTGTGAATTGCGTCTGAGTTACTGAACTCTGAATTATGAGATAAAAAGCAAATAATTTCGTGTTAGAAATTCCATTAAATTTATTATGAGGATATCTAATTTTTCCGAGCTAACACGTAGTTGATCTCTCACCAGAATATTTTGTTTAAATTTTACTTACTTACTTATTTTATTTAACTTCGATATGGGTAAATAAATCACCGGTTATTTAAGGCATTTACCAAAAACGGTTGAATTATTTCAAAATTCGGATGAGATATTAAACTGTTGCTAAGCAATTCATATGAATACTGTATATTAAGAAAATATTCGCTCGCATTTGATCAGAGGCAATGAGAAAACGTTCGTGGCTTATAATTAATAATATTAATAGAAAATTTTCCGATTATTGCTGATATATTTGAAGCATTGGAACCATAAGTTGCAGCTGCTTTCCATAAATCCATAAAAGAGACGCTGCTTTTCATTAACTAATCATTTAATTGGAACTAATCGTGCATTACGCTCGATACCAATTTTGAGTAAAATTAATTTGAACTCAGCTTAGTCCTAACCTTTCCATCTGTATAAAATGTGTCTGAAAAGATGTCAGACTTCTTAAATTTGTATGGCTCACTTGTGTAACTTGATCAGCGTGTCTATTCTTATTCGGGATGGGCGAGATATTGATCACCCATTACAGAAGCCTTTATTAACTTCTCCACAGGCAACATCATTTTATAGAAAAAAATGATTGATGGTAGTTTGCGTTTGAGTATAGCTATAGATATGCAATTCAGTTCCCTGTCATGAGATTTTCACACCAACAACACATGCACGAGGTTGTTGTATTGTACCACACAAATATTTTACCACATTACCACATTCTGAATTTTTTATAACGTAGGAACTTGTTCTTCTATCAATTTTCTATAAATCAACTGAGGAGGTAAAGATTTAATGAACTTGATATTTTTAACACTGTTGACAACGGAAGCATTGATGAAATTGTGAAATAGGGCGATAGTAGGGCTCGCACTTAAGTAATAGTGGGGCTCGCTCGCAATAGTAGGGCTCGCACTGAAGTAATGGGCGATAAAAGAGTTAGTTTATACTCGTAGAATAGAATAGAAATGTCGGCACTGAAGAAATTGGCCCATGGCCTGTTGCCGATTTTTGTATTTTTCGTGACTTGATTCACAAGGGATCCGGCCTTATGAACCCGATCTTTCCATAACTGACGATTGATTGAGATAGCTGCTGGACTTATTGCCTAGTCCGTAAGGTGCTAGGCATTTCAAGACTGAACATATGCTCCTGCATAGCTTCGTAAAGTCTGTTCCTGAAGGCGTTCATACTCGGAGCTTCTGAAAACAATATATATAACAATCTTAAGATGCAGCAGGAAATGGCTTTCCTCGAGTTATTGCTGACAAAATCACAAACCATTCACGAATATCCCAACATACATTTAATATCCAAACATTACTATTCACAAAAGTTTCACTAACAGTAGAGCGCAAGGTGCTCCACTAGTATTAGATTGCAAGCGACGAGGTCGGATAATTGCAACGAACATGAGTATTCGACTGTGGCAACATCGCGGCGCTGGCTTTACTCGATCTTTCCGCTGCATTTGACACGGTCGACCACGCCACCTTGTTGCGTCGGCTAGACGTATCGTATGGCCTGCGAGGTACGGTGCTGCGGTGGTTCGAGTCTTACCTCGACAATAGACTCCAATGTGTTCGTCGCGGGCTCTCCTCTTCTACACCATCGACGGTCACCTGCGGTGTACCGCAGGGCTCGGTTCTCGGCCCAATACTCTTCCTGCTATATACTGCCGACGTGTTGCACATAATTGATTCACACAGCTTGAATCCGCACATGTTTGCCGACGACACCCAAATCTATGGCTACTGTGCGCCGGCGGACGCTGCAGCGCTGCAAGACCGGATGTCTGCCTGCATGGACGCCGTTTCAGACTGGATGCGTTCCAACCGGNGGCTATACGTATACGGCTCTTGGTTAAACCGGCCTGTAGAAAAGCCGGTCGTTCCTCCTATATCTGTATAACTCGCGAACGAAAGCAAAATAAAAATTGTCACCAGCTAAACATCAGAGTTGAGAGGTTAGGTAATTATATACAAAGTTTCCTTGAAATCTGTTCAGTAGTTTAGAAGAAATTTCTTGATCGCCGCGAATTTAAGTGATAAATTACCCGGCGATACAGGCCGAATATAAGGAAGTGTGAAATCAAGAATGACGGTGAAATGAAAAAAAAACTCGCAAACTAAGGTAAAATCGAAAAAAAATTTTATAAGCTAAAAATTACCGTTTGGTAGTTAGGCATGCATACTCAAAATTTCGTTCAAATCTGTTCAATATTTGGAAGAAATTCTTTGATCACTGCGAATTTCGGCCTGTTTCGCAATATACGCGTAACTCACGAATGAAGGTGAAATTAAAAAAAAAGTTACGAGCTAACATCACCGTTATGTTCTGATGAATACGTGTTCCAAGTTTCATAGAGCTGCGTTCATTAGTTTGGGAGCCAGGAATTTAAAAGCGAAGAAAACAGCCAGAATATTAACAATTTCTTAAAAATGAAAACGTTGATATTACTTGATAATTGAATTTGGAGATTGGGCGTGAGACCGGCTACAAGTCCGGCCGTAAATTCGCCCGAGACGTCCTAGGTTTCTAGTGCTGAAACAGTTAAAACAGCTGAAAAACACAGTGGTTCACTAAATGGGGTTCTATCTGCGAAATACACATTTGTGTTTAGCCTTTCTCTTTTAAAATTGCAGCGTACTAAATGTCAAGAAAGAGGCGTATGTCTGTGGGGGGCGATAGAAATTCACCAGGGAGCCAAAGGGGGCGCCAGCCTGAAAAAGTTTGGAAACCACTGGTCTAGACAGATGGATGGCTACAGGACTAGATGGTCTGGACAGCTAGAAGGGATTTAGACAGAAATTGTGTTGTTTAAACACCTTAGACAGATCTAGAGAGGTCTAGAAACATCTAGACAGATCTAAAGAGCACTGACAGACCGAGAGAGGTCTAGAAACATCTAGACAGATTTAAGGAGCTACTAACAGATCTAGATCTGTCTAGACACATCTAGACAGATCTTAGGAGCTACTGACAGATCTAGAGAGGTCTAGAAACATCTAGACAGATCTAAAGAGCTACTGACAGATCTAGAGAGGTCTAGAAACATCTAGACAGATCTAAAGAGCTACTGACAGATCTAGAGAGGTCTAGAAACATCTAGACAGATCTAAAGAGCTACTGACAGATCTAGAGAGGTCTAGAAACATCTAGACAGATCTAAAGAGCTACTGACAGATCTAGAGAGGTCTTGAAACATCTAGACAGATCTAAAGAGCTACTGACAGATCTAGAGAGGTATAGAAACATCTAGACAGATCTTAAGAGCTACTGACAGATCTAGAGAGGTCTAGAAACATCTAGACAGATCTAAAGAGCTACTGACAGATCTAAAGAGGTATAGAAACATCTAGACAGGATCTTAAGAGCTACTGACAGATCTAGAGAGGTCTAGAAACATCTAGACAGATCTAAAGAGCTACTAACAGATCTAGCAAGATTTTATTGATGCAACTATTCCCTGCGTGTGTTTTCAGGTGTCAAGCGCCGGGTGCGTGATGCCAGACCCGCCCTGCCATCAGGAGTCCTGGGGCGTCGTGTGCAGCCCCTGGGGCTTCACGGAGCCTTACTGGAAGGATGGCGGCAGGCTGGGTGGTGGTGAGCAGAACACATGCATACTTTGTTATTATATAGCATTGCTTGAAATATTGTATTATTATCTATCATTGTTTGAAGTACTTTATTATTATATATCATTGCTTCAAGTTTATTATTATTATATGTCGTAGCCTGAGGTACTTTATGATTATATATCATTACTTGAAGTACTTTATTTTTATATATTATTACTTGGAGTACTTTATTATTATAAATCATTGCTTAAAGTTTATTATTATTATATGTCATTGCTTGAAGTACTTTATTATTATAAATCATTACTTGAAGTACTTTTTTATTATAAATCATTACTTGAAGTTTATTATTATTATATGTCTTTGCTTATTATTTGGTCATATGTTATATGGTATATTATATGGCATGGTTTATATTATATGGTTATATATACTGTCCAAATAGTAACACACTTCCTGCACATAGCACCAATATTCCCTACTGGCGGGCCAAACACGGCCAGGATGACCCACACGAAGACAAAAATACATCGTTTTTTTAAACAAAGTCCCATTTATTTCTGTGAGTGCAGACTTCCAGACGTGCGGTGCAGACTGGGACTGCAGCGAGGCTACGGTGCGCGGGTACCTCGCTCGCTACGTCATCGACTCGTCGGCGACGTGCGAGACGTACGCCAGGGTGCACATCGGGGGACCTCAGGGTGCGAGCGCCTCGTATACGCTCGACTACTGGTACGATGTTAGGGACTGCCTCGATAACGGCAGCTTCACGCCCCCGCCTGCATGAGTTCGTTGTGAAATGATCAGCGCTACCTATACACGAACACTCAATACGTGTATTATTAATCCGAAGTAAAATTATCAGTGCTGCCTACACTCAAACTCAATACGCGTATTATTCATCCGAATTAAAATTATCAGTGCTGCGTGGACTAACACTCAATAGCGAATCATATAGCCGAAGGACAGCAACGTTTGGCACATCTGTACCTAAATTCTTCGACTAAATCTCCCTGTTAAATTTGCATCAGAATTCATCTCATTTTCTTACTATAAATTGTGTTAATCTAAATTGTTCCGTAACAACAAGAAGTAAGTAAAGGATAATTACGAAATCCCAATAAACTTAACAATATTTTTAGTATTATTTTTTTCCTGAGCAGAAAATATATATCGTGCGCCTGTCCATTTCAATTATTGTTTAGGGGATTCTGCAATAATGGAATAATTAGCTGCTAATGGCTGACACTTAAAGGAATAGCAGAATAAAAGAAAAATATTTCAAGTCGGCTCAACTTTTTTGGAAATGTCATAAACTTGAGTTTTAACGGAACTTACACTCATACAGAAAGTCTCAAATGTTACAAAAGAACTGGGACAGAATTATTCTCGCAGACGTAATTTTTACGATCATTCCGTGATTTACTGCATTAATTATTTAGATATTTCTTATTAGTCAAATTTCAGAACGATGTATAGTGGTGCAATTAGTGTGGCTTTCGGACTCAGCAATCATTTCATGTACGATTTTCTTCGGAACATATATCCATTAAGGTAGCGTAGAACTTTTTGTTAAAACATCTTGCTTGACATCCACAGCTTCTCTGTTTTTTTTTTACAAAAGTTGGGAATTCAATTAACATCAACGATTGAATTGAACACTTCTTTTAAAAACTTGTTTTCGTCAGAATTAAGAGCATAGACAAGAATCCATACAAATTTCTTCTTCAAATTTCAATCATAGAGAATCGTGAAGCTTCACATCGGCATCTAAATTCTGCTCCTGCGGAGGCCACGAATTTTAATTTTTGCAATACGACTAAAATTTCACTTTTCTTACTCGCATAACGCATCTGCATTTTCTGTAAAACATGATGAAACATTCATATTGAGTACTTAATTGAAAAGCTTTTCAGAATATTTTTTACAGCACTGAGTTTTGATAGAAAATTTGCGCCCTTTTGTAAAATTAATAATTCGGTCGCATTAATTTTTGAATTATTAGGATTCGGTTGAAAAACGCGTGCACTTTAGAAATGAAACGCCTCTAATGAGCAGCTTTTGTTGCCATGGAAAATATTTGTGTTTGTGCTGCAGAACTGAAAATCGTGCAAATGTATAGAATTGTATGTATATTTAATGAGACTATCATCTTTTGCTAGGCCGGAAAATGAAAATTACTTTTTGGTCGTGATAAAAAAGTCGCCCCAATTGTTCTCTTGATCAATTGATCCCAGTTCGAAAAAAAAATCCGAATTGAATGCACAGCAGAATCCGAAAAAAGTTAATTTCACAATTAAAAGTGTAATTTTGGCCTGAATACAAATCAAAAATTAGATATGCCAGGCTTTCTCGTGTCCGTTCCCTGTACATTCCTCAGTACACTTCATTGACTGAGATTTTTAAAGCGACGATAAACTTCGCACGACATCCGCACGCATTTCGAGGCTCTGAATGATGCCCATGCGTCCTGATATTCCTGGATTAAAATGTCAACAGGTATTTTTTTAACATTATCATTTTATTCCACTTTTCACCCATGCTATATGGATTACTCGAACGAGTCCAGTGAACGGGGAAAAGTAGAAGGGCGATTCGAATTGGAGTTTATTTTATAGGTTTATTTCTGAGCGTAAAATCATTGCTTAACTTACATTTTCTATTATGATTGGATGCAAAAAAACTTGCGCAATAAAGTGCTTTGACAGAACATTGGTGATATTAAATTGTCAAAAGGGAAAAAATAAGTTAAACACAAAGTTATAGAAACTAGAAAACCTTTGCAAGCTTGTATCCATAAAGTTCTATCCAAAGTTTCATGCATCCATAAAGTTCCATGTATCCGTAAAGTTGCATCCAACGTTCTCGATATGTACCATTTCCAATACGTGTTCGATGATTAAATAAAGAACCGGCCGTTTCAAAACTGAACATTCACTTCAGCGTTCAATTATTTATTGATGCCTTAATTAGAAAATCATATAATAGAACACAAATACATTTAAAGTTGTTAAATTTTCCTTCTTATATAATTATTTGTGGTATGAAAATTTCATGTTAGAGAAAAACTAATCCTGGAGTTCACGAGTAGCTGTCTTTAGAAAATAGGATTATGACGAGTCGTGAAGGGAGTTGGAACTTGTAATGGCAATGAGCAAGATTCAGATTGTATATGCTCATTAAAATTTCTAAGCGCTTCTGAGAAGATCGTGAGATGATGACACCGTCAGAGAGAAGCCATTACCTCTGTATCATCTGTTTGCACTGCGGGTAAGAAAGTGAGTCACTATTCGCGCAATTTTACCCATTCATTTTCCTACGTGAAGAGTTGATATAATTAAGTAGCGCAATACCTGCACCGGATGTTGCGACAATGTCATCACAGCTGCCGCCATCACGCGGTGAACAGGCCGCCGTCAATCAACTCGTGATAGCCTGCTGCTTGCCTCGTCTCAAATTTTTTATTGCAGCGCTGTTATCGAACGACTGAATAATATGACAATTGTCATCAATAGAGTATCGTCATCAGTGGCCAATACGTGGAAAATTTGTCAAAAATTACACCAAATAAAAATAAGAAATGTAATGAGTTAAGTGCAAGCTGTGGTGGTCGTGCTGCAAGTCAGGGAAACCGCGTCCACGATGTTGACTTACAGTGCCTAGAAATTAACGAATAAATTATAATTAAATATATTTGATAAATATTGTTGTCCCGAATATATATTCACATTCAAAATGTCCCATCTCCCTTCATTCAATCTTTAGAGGGAACAGCTATTAAGTATCTTTATTCTCATCCGATGTACGCATTATAATTATTATTTATCTCTACGAAAATTATTTTTAGCGTTTATAATGCAATTTTTAGGAATGATGGAGTGATTTACTTCGACTTTGCTCATGTTGTTTCTTTTACCTATGGCTGACTGAAGCGCTGGGAAATATCGCTGAATTTCAATTCCCAGCTAATTTGTTAATAACACTATCTCTACAATAGATTGTCCGATTGAAAAAATATCAAGACTTTACTCATGGTTCTACTGGAATTTCGCCATTTGACAAATTCACGACTCAGCATTTCTCACATTTAACATTCCACCTTTATCGTAAAATCGTCACCGACAGGCAGTTACAAACAGAAAAAAAATATAACTCAGTACTCACTGCAGTGAGTGACAGAGAGCGGATTTTCTCGTCGACGAAAACGTGAAGTCACGGACGGACAGACAGACGTACAGACGGACAGACAGACGGACGGACAGACGGACATGGCGAGCTTAATAGTGCATTTTTTCCATAAATGAGAAAATGCGCTAAAAACAGTACTAGACGTAATAATATATTCAAAATTAATTACGAGCATTACATAGACTTCAAACTGAACCATTTTTTAGGTAATGTAGGGAACATTAATGAGTGTAACGGGGGATCTTGAAATTCCGGTAGCAACATTCGGTGCCTACGGAAGCCTTTACATGTAATTTTGGCTTCCAGCTTTTCGAACATTACGGTTACGTAAGGATGTAAGAGCGATGAACAATCAAATCTATTTTCATCGGCATGAGCGCTAGCTAAAAATTATACAAAAGAGAATTTTGAAGATAAAATAGATGATATAAATCTCAATTAATTTTAATCATTAGTTTAAATTTAATTTAATTTTAATTCTTTTAATTTAATTTTAATCGATAGGCCACTCCGATTAAAGACTGATTAAATTGTCAAGTAGTCACGATCAAAAAGATTGTAAAATGCTTCACTTTATCACCTATTTAATTTACAAGTGTAGCTGGTTTAAATTATCCCATAATGAGGGCGTCTCGGTGCGAGTCTTTGCTTGTCAGAAGCTCTTTGAGGTTTCTCATCCTCAGGGACATTGTTCCTGAGCACCCCACAACAGCTCACGGTAACTGACCGCGAGTCTCAGTTGTGAAATTAACTTGTTACCAACACACATCTGTCGTTGAATCTACGTTAAATCAAAAGTTAATTGGTTGAATCATCGTTTATTCAACGTTGTTCCAACGTCTTTTGTCTGGTGGGATATACGTAGCGTTGCAGTCGCTGCCCTCGTCCGCCCCGCTCATTCATTGCGGCCGACCTCTCGAGCATGAGATCTTTTGTACAAGTATCTTATTTCAGTTAATAATCAATGTCTCTATCGTTCATAGTTACTTTAAATTTATTTGGTTCTTCATTACCAGCTTCTTTTCAGTTTAGCCAATTGGTTGAGATCACCAAAATTAGAACAATGAGTTAAGTTTTCGAACAATGCAGCTATTTCTAAAAAAATATAACTCAGTACTCACTGCAGTGAGTGACAGAGAGCGCATTTTCTCGTCGACGAAAACATGAAGTCACGGACGGACAGACGGACGGACAGACGGACATGGCGAGCACAATAGTGCATTTTTTTAATAAATGAGAAAATGTTCTAAAAATATGGTAGAAATCAACGAGATGGCCTGGTGGAGCGTTGAGTTTCGTGTTCGAGATCCGTAGCTATCTGTCAAAATTCTGCCATGTCTAGAATTGCAGACAGGCAAATCATGGAGTGAATCGCGTGCGTGAGACCCACAACAAGTTATGAGAATTTTGGGAAGTTCAGAATCGGCGAAGGTCCTAGTGACCTTATCTTCAGCAATGACAGCGCCATTCTATTCAATCACGCTATTCCTTATAGGCCATTACTCTCACTTATTGGTGAAGTATAATTGTTAATTTACTTAACAAACATTTTTTGGGGTCAAGTCTTCCCACCGTGTTGATGAGGACCAAATTATTTTAGCTATTTTGGCGAGGGTTTTTGGAGCGATTGAAAATTTCGCGTCACTTCCTATTCTCTTTGGGCAGGTCTCAGCACTGAACAGCTCGCGATTGTGTCATCATAAGTGAACGCTGTTCTGTTGTTTCTTGCTCTTCCGGCTTTGTCCTCCTTCACTATGAGACTTTAAATCATTCTTGATGATATATTATTATGAATTTTCGGTACTATCAGATACATTTGACAAAATTTATTAAATGTGATTCTCAAGAAGCGTAACCGAAGTGAAAAAGTTCTTTCGTATAAAATGACAATTTATGATAAAATTTTGTAATTCAATCCGAGTTGGCTTCATGTTTGTCCGTATGAACGTTCTTAACTCAACTTCGGTTAGATTTGCAAAACTTCAGAAAATTCGTAATAAACTCGACAATAGATTAAGAAAAGATGTGCCCTATCTTCTTCTTGCCCCAAAAATATAGCCTCTGTTGAACAATTCATGAATGCGAATTTAGGTTCAATTGATTCAAACTCTGAATCTGCTGTGCATGCAATGTTGTTCGAACGAAACGTGCTATTTACTTTAAGCATGGGACTCAATCCGTAGATGCCAAAGGAAAAAAACTAATAAATAGCATTACTAATTAAATTTAATACTATTCTATGACAGTTTCAATAAATAACTCGATTTTATACGATTTCAATTAACCAACATGCAACGTGAACTGAATGGAGCTCAGTGTAAACTAAGCCTATCAAGGCTCAGCTGGAACCGGGAGAATATTAAAGCGAGGAGCTGGGATTGGTCTAAGCACTAAGGCGGGTGTCTGTAAGTCTGAGCACCGAGGCGGGCGTCGCGTGCCTAGCAGCAGCGCCCCAGTGCCGCCGCTCAGTCGATTATCGCGGTGCTTAGCGCAGGATCAGCGAGGATTTATGGCTCTGATGGAGGTGCTTCTAAACGTACGTCGCTAACGATTTTATCATCCAACCAGTTACTGAAGATGCGTGTGCATTAAGTTTCTTAGTTCATCAGGTTGGATGCACTGCTCTCCTAGTAATCAAATACTTCTTATTAATCCAAGATTATCGTAAACTACTGAGTCAACCATTTCACGAGTAAGAATTTATTACCAAATTTCCAACATTAAACCTGCCTTGTTTGAAAACTTAACCATCAATTCAACTTCAAGTTTTCCACATATTAAAAACTAGATTATTATTATTATTCTACGAAGCAATTATCGTGGCGCCTGGTTCAAACAAACATCGAGAGCAAGTTACACATAAGTTTAATAGTAAGCCAAAAAATAATAAGTCACGGAAAAGATGAATACGGATGAAATGACTAAGCACGAGATTAATAGGCTCTACGAAATAATTCTTTCTTTATGCGTCGACGAAACAACGGCAACAAAGGAGCCGAGGATACGGAGGCCAGCGGATTGTTCCAGATTCTGGCGGCGGCGACCGGGGGGAACGCTCTGTCACCGACGGTAGATAGTCGTGTAGATGGTACGGCAAGGTCCACTGTTGATGACTAAGGCAGTTGCCTTCTAGAAGGCAGATCCGGCACGCACTGCAGACCTTTCACGAGAAAAGGAGGCGCCAGACCGTGAAGGCATCGGAGCGTCATAACAGCGACCCTGAATTGCGTGCACTGCTGCGCAGCCAGTATAAATCGTGCAAATTCGGCGTCACGTGGTCGAATTTCCGTTTCTTGTACACGAGTCACGCAGCAACGTTCATTACCGATTGCAGTTAATTAAGTGCCGTGGTCGGAAGTCCATAGAGTGTGGCATCGCCAAAGTTAAATCTGGTCAGAACAAGCGCCACCAAGGGCCTTGATGTACAGCGGCTGACGCTGCGAATACGTTGCAGAGCACCAAAATAAGCGGTGGTGACTTTGTATATGTACTTTTTCATAGAAAGTTTCGAGTCCAGCTGAACGCCGAGGTTGCGAACCGAAGGCACAGGCATGACGAACTTATTGATCATGCGTACATTGTTAGCCGGAAGCTGATGCTGGCACCGAGAAGTAGCAAACCAAATAAAGTCGTTTTTTGCGGCTTTCAGCTAGAGCCGGGTGGAGCACATCCAGTCTGGGACGGCGTCCATCCATCAGGCAGACATCCGGTCCTGCAACGCTGCAGCGTCAGCCGGCGCACAGTAACCATAAATTTGGGTGTGCTGAAATATGCGGATTCAAAATATATGAATAAATTATGTGCAAAACGTCGACAGCATACTATAACGGGGGGGTGGATAGCTAGAGGTCAGCATAGCCCAAGTCCACAGTGCTATTCATATACCTTCCCGAGCGTAACGCAGCCGGGCATCTTCACAGCGCCCACCACAACAGCGCAGTTCAGTCACAGGCCGGAGCGCATACAAGCCGGAGCCCAACTGGCCGGAGCGCAGCAGGCCCTACCGCAACAGCTACTCCTAACGTAACCTAGCCTAACCTGCGCCGCCTGTTGCGGTAGGGCCTGTTGCGCCCCGGCCAGTTGGGCTCCGGCTCTGTGAAGCAGTGGCTGTGTTGTGCAAAGCGGATTTACTGTTAGCCGGAGTTACTCACAGCTCATTGATCTGAGGCTATGTGTAGATATTGCATGCTGATGGTTGGCGTTGGGCCCAGGGCCTGTTTACGAGTCAATTTTATTACCCACGGCTGCGCTCCCATAACGGGAAGAGGATCGGGCCAGTGGTACGCTGCAAGTGACCAACGATGGCGTAGAAGAGTGCCCGTGTCGAACAATTAGGAATCTATTGCTGAGATAGGACTCGAATTACCGCAAAATTTTGCCGCGCAGAGCGAAAAATGCGTAAACTAACCGCAATAAAGTGACCCTGGTCGACCGTGTCAAATGCGGCCGGTCGATCGCTAGTAAAGCTAGTGCCGCAATGTCGCCGCCGTCTACTGCTCGCAGAATATCTGAAAGAAACTTCACAACAACGGTTTCCGTCGAGTGAAGATGACGGCATGCAGACTGAATGTGAGGCATGAGACCAGACTATTGAAGATGGTTATTCAGCTGTCGGGCCACAACGCGTTCCAGGAAGCGTTACATACATGATACATGTATAAGGTGATGGCCACCAATGCAATCGCCTGAAGTCTTACGAATGTTGGACTCGCGTCAGGGACAAGTTTATTATATACTATACTCTATATCAGTCATATTCCTCAGCTAAGACTTTTTTTACATGAATTATTCACGCCATAACAAAATTTGCTCCTGGCAGATTACTGGTTGTAAAATTGCTGCTTCGGACTCAACGCGGTATGGAAGCTGAGTGTTAAACTGTCAGAATTATCACCACCAAACAGCGTCTTCTATGTTATTCATTCTACTGCAAGAGAATAATCGTTAGGGGGGCCTCAGTACAGAGACGCTGACGGGGAGCTTGCATTACACAGGGCGTCTGATGATCGTTCCGTTTCTTCTCACCACGAATTGCATACGCGGATATCGAATAAAAAAAAAACCTTTTCATGCCTCTAGACTTTTCAAAATAATCACGAAGTGACTGGTAAAATAGAAGAACAATTCACAGCCTGGAGAGGATTTTGAAGGCCAAGTGCTAATTGAGTTCAGCCACGCTCGGCCAAAAATAAAAAAAAAACAATATTGCAAGTCGCACCAGACACCATGAGATGATCATTGTTTAACGCAGAACTGTGACTGTGAGAGCAGCGACAGCAAAAGCAGACTGTTTCTGCAATGATTTCAGGATGGAAATTCCAGTTATTTTCTTAATTTATAAGCGGAACATTACTAAACCGATTTACGGTAATCCTTTCTCAGATTATGGACTGAATTACTTGATCGCGACACCTCCAGGATAATTTTATTGAGCCATGTGCTTGTTTCTCTAGCATGACAAGTCGAAAAGATCATTGAAAGATACAATTGTCTACATAGATTACTCGTTTCATTCTTAGGGTGAACTCGTTATTTCACGTGAACTAAACAGTTAAGACAAGTTTATGTCATGGCACAAGTACTCTTTAGTACCCGTATGCGAACAAGTGATCAAATTTCGTACATGAATATAATTAAATTTTAGAAAAACACAGGAAGTTAACGGTAGTATACTAAGGTAACACAGTAAGGGAAAAGTTATCTGGCAATATGAAGGACACGTATAAAAATTTATGTCGAAACGATACTAGCCCAAATTAAATTTTTTAAAGATCACATTCTGGTTAACTATCTTGAGGTCGCAAATCAAGGGAAATGAGATTAAACGTTCGAGACATACTTTACTGAGAAAACACACATCCTGTGAAATATGACAAACTGGACTATAAATCACATGTAATAATAATGCCAAATCAAAAGTAATTCAAACTCTGGGCCCCGGAAAGAAACTTTGGTACACACAGAGCTTGACGATGGTAACCATAGCTAGCGACACAAACAGCACAGGCAACAGACATCGCGGTAATTTACAGCCGCCATAGTCTCTCTAAATTCGTCCACTTCATAACTTGGAAAAAGGATCGCGCCAGGCGACTGTTCCCCAGCGCAGCATTCAAGGCTAACTGATGCGTACCGCATCTGAAGAGTTTACATAACAATTAAATGCCGCAGAACTCGGTGATGGATAGGTCACGGCAAGTCTCTTTGCATAAAAATCAAATTTCCTTTTACAATATTCTGCCACGCAATGATGCTATCTACTTCAAAGATTCTCACTGAATTCTAAAGTAAGGCTATATACTGAAACGAGATCTCCAGGCTATCAGTAGCAACCAATAGCAAAAATTACAAATTAAAATAGATATGATAGGCTGGAACTAATAACTGCCTCACTGGAAAAAATGAATGCCTCAAAGAAAAGTTATTTCAGTAGACTAGAAACATAGAAAACAATCAATCAAGGAGAATCGAGAATAGGAGCGTTGGGAAACTGAGAGGTTTTTTTCTTCAGCTGCGGTACAAAGCTGAGGATCTAAGCTGTTGTCCGGAGCGACTGGTCGAACGCGGAGCACAGGACACCTGCAAATAATAGTAAATAAGAAACTTGAACAGCAAGCAAGTATGAATATAACTGAATTTAAAAGGTTCATAAAGGAGGCTAGCTTTAAAGTTTCTACACAGTCTTCTTTATAAGTCTCTAGACAGAGTTATAATGGTGCACAAGATACATCGTTGCAGAAAAATCATTCATAACATTTCCCATTGAAACTCTGATGAGTTGGAAGCATGGGAAGAAATTCCTACAGGTACTCCTGCATCCGTTCTGCCAGAAATCAAGCTGTTCATTTATTACCAGTACTGGAAAGGGTTCAAACATAGGGTGAGATTGATATCACTGTGAGTACCCAGGGACTCTGCCTGCAGCTAGTTCGCTTTCACAAGCAAAATATTTGAAGTCTAGATGACAGCCTTTGAATTGCCAACAACGACGCATAATAAAGGGTGCATACTGCATCAATTGCCTACATATCTGGACAACGTATCCCCCATTTGTCACCAAATGTCATTCATTTTACCAGAGGCATCATTACTACATAGTCTGATGGTGTTAGAAAAATGTAAGTTTATTCTTCAAGCCCCTTGGAGGTCCCTGCTCCTGAATAGTGGCAGGCACTTGCGGTAGATGTGTTCAATCCACTGCGAGGCGTCGCTAATTATCTACTTAGTAATTGCATCAACAACTTGGTGGTTTCCAAAAATTGTGAGGTTATGTGTGAGGTTATGACCACCAATAGATCTGTGATAATTTACTGGTGGCAGTGGGATTAGCGGCAGACTTTTACAAGAAATAAAAGAAAGCCAGCTTAATGGATGATTCAGATAATCACCAAAGCTCCAACACAAAATCCATTTCAATATAAAAAATTACCACAAGAAGCAAAGATCAGCATTCACCCATTACGTGAACTGACCAGCATTATTGAGTTTACTCCAGGTCAGGCAACGCCTCGTCGTCAGAATCAGTTTCATCCTCCGGGTCCAAATCATCCAAGGACGGTCTGCCGAATGCCTCATCGCCACCACCGGGATTCAAAGAGCCCATCTGCTGCATCATCTGTGAATAATGAGAGATTACAAGTGCATTTTCATGTCATCACCAAGTTCATTTTTATGTCATCACCAAGTTCATTTTCATGTCATCACCAAGTGCAGTTTCACGTCATCATCAAGTGCAGTTTCACGACATCACCAAATGCAGTTTCATGTCATCACCAAGTGCAGTTTCATGTCATCACCAAGTGCAGTTTCACGTCATCACCAGGTGCAGTTTCACGTCATCACCAAGTGCAGTTTCACGTCATCACCAAGTGCAGTTTCACGTCATCAGTGTTTCTCCAACGCCATCACTCAGTGTTTCTCCAAAGCCATCACTCAATGTTTTCCCACACATCACTCAGCATTTTTCCCACGCCATCACTCAGTGTTTCTCCAACACCATCACACAATGTTTTCTCACGCCATCACTCAGACCTTTTTCCCACGCCATCACTCAGTGTTTCTCCAACGCCATCACTCAGTGTTTCTCCAACACCATCACTCAGTGTTTCTCCAACACCATCACACAATGTTTTCCCATGCCATCACTCAGCATTTTTCCCATGCCATCACTCAGGGTTTCTCCAACGCCATCACTCAGGGTTTCTCCAACGCCATCACTCAGTGTTTCTCCAACGCCATCACTCACTGTTTCTCCAACGCCATCACTCTGTTTTCCCATGCCATCACCCAATGTTTTCCCACGCCATCACTCAATGTTTTCCCACGCCATCACTCAGTGTTTTTCCCACACCATCACTCAGCGTTTTTCCCACGCCATCACCAGTGTTTTTCTCACGCCATCACTCAGCATTTTTCCCACGCCATCACTCAGTGTTTTTCCCACACCATCACTCAGTGTTTTTCCCACATCATCACTCAGTGTTTTTCCCACACCATCACTCAGTGTTTTTCCCACACCATCACTCAGTGTTTCTCCTATACCATCACTCAGTCTTTTTCCCACACCATCACTCAGCATTTTCTCAAGCCATTACTAAGAGTATTCTCACACCTAAGTGGCATGGTAAAAGGTTAGATGAATAATTATTAGTTTTTGTGGCATAACAGAACCAAGCATCATACCTGTTGAAAATCGTCTCCTTCAACATCGCTATCGTCGTCTTCATCCTTCCACTTGGAAAAGTCAACCTTAAGCCAGTGTTGTTTGATTTTCTGCTTTAGGAGATGTGGCCAGAATGGACCTGATTCTTTCTTCATTAGCATTATTTCAATGTTGCGATCCCTCACAACTTTACGACTGGCCTGTCAAAAAATAATATAGATTCAGCCTCTTGAGGACAGTCATAAATTTATGATGGCATTAAGCATAAAATCCATTTATAAGTCAACTTTTGAATCAGAATAGGTTGAAAATTTTTCAGTGTCACAGAATTTATAATTAAATCAGTAACTTTGAAATTTATTTCAAATAACCTAGTGAGTAAGAAAAACCACCTATTTATTTTATGTCCAAAAATTTGAATAGCTAAATAAAAAAAAACACAATGTTATGGGGGATTGATTGCATTCAACAGTTGAATTCCGAATTCAAATAATTCATTCTAAAATTTCATTCATTCAAATAATTCATTCATGCCTATAATCAATATGAAGAATACTTGTAAATAAATTAAAATTTATATTCATTTCATATCATTTGTTACCAAGAAACCTAATTAATTTGTAGTGAAAATCTATTACTTCAAGGAAAAATAAGATATCAATGTGATAGGCCTGGATATTAGTATAGAGGAATAGTTTCTAAATTTATTGACAAGCCTTAACACCAAATAACAATTATACACTGACATTTTCAAGTATATAAGTTCACATTCAGAAGGATTCTTCTATTTGTCAGTTGATACATATTAGTACTGTAGGGCGCTATCATAACAGTCAAGGTAGCATTGGCAGCTGATGCCCCAGCAAGAGCTGGTGCTTGGTGACATAACAATAGATAGCCTATAAAAGCTCCAACCACTAGTCTGCCATCAGTAGTAATAATAATTGCATAAGCAGCATAGCTGAATTCTCTGCAAAACCTCACCCTAATTGCTAGAGTCATTTACCTTTCAAAAAAAATTCTGTATAGTTTACTCAATATTAATATCACTCTTGTTAACTCACATTCTCCTGCTAGAATCACATCAGACATAGAACATTTCTGTGTGTCCTCAAGAACATGTAAATAGTATATAAATAAATATAATATTATATCAGTAAAAACCTCTATGTCAGTGCCACAGAAAAGGTGCTAACATCATAGTTAGCTGAATATAATTCAAAGTTGACAATTTTCCAAAACTCCCACTCACAATTGTAAAAAAATTGAGCATTGACAGGCTTGAATAGCACTTACTGCAGCATCAATTTCATCAAAAAGCTCTAAAGTGTTCTCATATGATTTGTTCTCTGCTCCTCCAGTTCCTTTGAAGTAAACTTTGCTAGGTTCTATGGTGACGATGGCATCTTTACAATCTTCTACACAGATGGTAATGTAGATCATGTTTTTTCTTTGAGCCCATGTCACTGGTGCTGGATGAGCCCTGATGAAGAAAAACATATATGTACTTGAACATTAAAGCACAACAAATATTTCTTGCCATACACATGCAAGTTGATAATAAAGCATTATTTCACACAGCAGATTATTATGGACTTGTAATATCAAAAACACTTCTATTGACCACCATCTTAGCTGGCAATTCCATATAACAAGTGTCCAACAGAAAAAAAATCTCCTTTGACCGTTCATGATAGCCACAAATTGTTTCTAAATCCTCTTGAAAGATTCATGATTTGCTAGTTTGTCTAATTTATGAGTTTTTTCAGTGTTCTTCTAGTTTGGTTATGTTGGTTTAATTTGTTGACTTGCAAAAAGTACCATGATCAAGGCATATACATTCACTAATCACAATGTTCAATGTGCTCAAATCTGGCAGTATCACTAAGAATTATACTATATAGATATATACCTATGCTATATATAAGACCTAAAATCAATACTGAATGTCTGAAAAAATGGAAAATGCATTATTAAGTTTCTTTAATGAATGAATTTAGCATGCTATAATGCGCCTTCTTCCATGGTCTGGTTCCTGCCATTCCTGAAGCCACACAATTCCCACAATTTCAACCAACTCTAATTTGATCCCTAATTAATGGCACAATCGAATTAATGGCACAATTCTGATGCTGTGTGACTAAATTCGGCAGATTGTGAGACTAATTCCGACAGCGCTTCAAAATCGTAATTTGTAATTCCGATGCTATGTTGGAATTCTAACGCCCTGTTTGAGCTGTATTGGAATACGAAACAGCTCGGAACGAGCTGTGCATGTCTAATTCTGAGCTGTGTTGGAATTAGTTTTTATGTGTCTAAAACCATCTCTTACCTTAATCATCTATTAATTTATTTACAACTTAAAATCAGCAAGTAATAGTATACTTAAAGGGTTCCTAATATATTCACAGACTATTTAAAAGTCTCAAACCATAATATTCTTTCTACACAAACAGTTTATCACTATTTGGTAGAGTAAGGTCAACTATCAACTTTGACACGTGTTTTGATGTTCTCACTGACACTGGGTGACATGGACTTTAGCTCTGAGGATCTTAACATTTTCCTGCCAGGCCTAGTGTTTTGCAGAAATATTGCGCGCAATAGTATGCGTCACTATTTCAACCATCTACTGATCTACGCATGTGTGGAACTAAGACAAAGCTTAATATAAACTTTATAAAGGAAAAAGTTTAAAAGTGTCGGAATTATCAATGATGTCTGAATAGGGTAAACGCGGTATATTCCGACACATTAAGGACGCATCAAGAAATGAAAAACTATAAAAAAAAACCGTATGCGTTATGTAAGTTCTGTTGCCTTCACATGACCCTCAAAACACTTCACTACGCGTCAGCAACGATGAAACGTCACAAAATGTTGCCATATTTATTAAAAAGCCTTTAGAATGGAAACCTACCAAATCCCTATATTCCGTCACTTTGTGTGGCAACATCCGACACGTGGTGAGTCGTATTGCGTCAGCGCTTCAAATTTAACAGATACGTATTGCCGACATCCACGTGTTCGAATTCCGTTTGCTGTGTGAGCTGTATTGGGATACAACACGGCTTTGAATTAGAACACTAACGAATATTGAACACTACTTAATTACGTTTTAATTAACAGCTATTAGGCTTTTAATTAAGCAAATTTCAATTTTTGTACAAAGCTTTGAACGATCTGTGTGTGTCCAATTCAAGTTGTGTCGGAATTAGTTTTCATGTGTCTAAATCCAACATCTCAACTTAATCATCTATTAATTTATTTACGACTTGAAATCAGCAAATACAAGTATACTTAAAGGATTCCTAATATATTCACAGACGTATTTAAAAGTCTCAAACCATAATATTCTTCCTATAAAAACAGTTATTCACTATTTGGTACTAGAGCCATGTCAACTGTCAAATTTGACACATTTTTCGATGATCTCACCACGTGGCATGCATTGTCTCTCTTCGGATCTCAATATTTTCCCACTAGATGGCCAAGACCTAGTGTTTTTTGCAGTATTTCGACACGCAAATGTATGACGTCACCATTTCAACCATCAATGAACGCATGGAACTAAAACAAAGCTTAATATAAAGGAAAAGCTGGAGAGGTGATGGAATTACCTACGATGTCGGAATATACCGCGTTTACCCTAGGGAGTAGGGGCGCCTAGGCTACTGGCAAATTACGGGTCTACTTATAGCTACGACTCAAAAATGAACTGGAAGAGTTGACAAAACTCTGCTTTGCCACTAGGCCTATGCAAGTTTGGAGTTCTGACTAGCTAATTCTTCACAAGCAAATTTAACAGAATTGGTTCATAGATGATGGCTTCATTGGCTTATGCATTGAAAAGATATGTAAGTTCTGCTCAATTTTCTAGACTCCAGTTGGGTCTATCACAATTCAGTGAAATCACAATACCTAGAAAATACTACATTTGGTTCAATAATTTATAATTTCAATGAGGAAATAATGTGTGAATCAAAACAGCTATCGGCTGGCAGCCTAGCACAATAGTAAACAGTATATTTAGCTAATTAGTATTCATCTCAGATGCCAAATTGAATTGTCACTTCCTAAGGCAGCAAGGCCCGGGCCAAATGCAACTTTGACCTATTTTCAAGATCGTCTCGTGATTAATAACAAACTTGAAAACCTTCGACCACCTTTATGATCCCCACAGCCAACAGGTCTAGATAATTTCAAAAGAACCAAAAATTAATTTTCATATACATGAATAAGTTTTCCAGAAAATACTTACATGTTTAATTGCGAGAGACAATTTTGTATCAGACGAACGCTCGACCACGCTGTTTCGTTTGTTGTGACTCGTATAAATGGGACAAGCAACCATTCGTCTATAGATTGAAATGGCAATGGCTCATATTACCAAAGTCTAATCAAAATATATTTTCAGCTTCTCTAATTTTTACTAAATACAGGAAGGCATTGCACGATTGTATGAATCAATTATAACAAAAATTGGCACAAAATGTATTATATGGGAGTAAGTTCCAGAACACTCGATTCTAACCGGTATGGTTCTAGAATCAAATAGCTCAGACAAGTAGAATTTAAGACTGTAATGGTATATAGTATTAGCATGGGGCTGGTTTACTCAAGAGCCTAAGTTTCACACTATTTGTTACTTTCCAAACGTATGAGTCACGCCTCAGACAACATGGGTCCAAACAATGATGATATACCGATGCCCATTAATCCTTTACCGAGTATGTTAAATCAAGTCTAACATTAAAGAGTTAGAATGAATGATGGAATTAACCAAATTTCTGTGTTAGAGAGCAAGTTTTCTACTGGTTTACTCGTAGATTTATGTTCTTGCATACCGCAAAACTGGCTCAATGCGCCAAATCACTGCACTTCCAATCTTAAGTCTTTTCACAACGAAAGATGTTGAAATTGTTTACAAAACTTGGTTGAGAAAAATTTTCGCCATAGAAAAAAATGCCTCGCTTAGTTGCTTCTGACAAAAAAATTGAAATGGTACGGGCATAGGCATAAAAAATTGTATTTATCGTTCATAACCCTCTATGAGAAGACAATCTCAATACAAGCAGAGGCACGGAAGCAGGCATAGTGTAATAGCGGGAACATTCGTAAGAATGGCGTCGATACTATGTATCAATATAATTGACCTTATTCTCAACTCATTAAGCTCCTTTCACTGTCATCAAGATGAGAGCAATTACGAGTATTTCGCTGGATAATCAGTAAACGAGTTGTTTTCAGAACTTTTATATAAAAGTGACGCAGTAGCATATTCATAGAAGTAAATTCTACAAATACAGTACATCGGACCAATGATACGCTAATTTTGGACTTCTTTTCAGACAACGAATCACACTGTAATTTATTTTTACATTTACAAGCCTAATAGTACGCAAGAACCTAATCTACAACAGAACGTAACCTTAAACGGCAAGCGACACGGAAATTACAGTAAACTCGTAGCAACGAAGCAGATACGAAAATTGTCTCAGATCACGAGATAATGCCCAAAGACTTCTACTAAATGAAAACAAAATCAAGACCAAGCTCATACTCGTTTTTTGATTTTAAAAATACATACGTACTGCTATAATTTGTCCGTTAATATTAAAATCAATTACCGATGACTAATAATACGCAATAAATGAAGTAGACATAGACCGAAGTCTACAGATTCCAGTCTTGGTGACGCGATGGCTCAAAATTGCGTACAAAGAGGAGCAACTGAGAGGAAGGAAATAAAGGGTTGATACGACAAAGATGGATGATGAAATACTCAATAATTCATTAAATTAAGGAATGGTGCAAGAACACGCTTGTGGTGTTAGTGGTTTCCGCCAAGCTGCTCTTGATAGACCTCTATGACGTCGTCGTTCTCCATTTCCAGCTGCAAATGGAAAAAAAATATTTTAGTTTCACTATAAAGTTTGCGTGGTTTTCTCGGTCCGACTTACACATCTACCACTAACCCCAGGGGTCTCTCGTAAAAAGGAGACCGGGGAACCACAACAACAACCACTAACGTTTCAAGAATAGAATTTGATCAATGTGCTGTAATAAACAAGATGACAACTGAGGTTATGAAACTAACGAATTTTTTACAAGCAAATTATATTCCATTCCCTAAACTCTCAAAAGAATGCGCGCTAACTTCGAGGCAACGATTGACAATACCTTGCTACACAACAATATCTTTCAGAAAAGCTCCCATGGCGACTTTTTTTGTCTAAACAAAAAACCGCTCTTTCACACGACCTACTGCTAAATGCACTATAATCAAGAGTGATTTGAAATGTTGGACCAAACTAGTGAAAGCTATTAGAGGGCATACACGAGAGGACATTAGGAAATATTTTTGTAAAGTTAAAATGAACGAATGGCAAGATGCAACTTCGCATATGTAGGTTGGTAAGTGGGTCAAACTTTTGACGATATGCTACTTTTAATCGAACAATTAATGAAAGTTTTAGTTTTGTTATCGCCCCATTTACTGAATTAAATTGGCGCTTTGATGTTGATAATTGACTGCTATCAAAATTTCCATCAATCAAATAATGAGATATGCCTTATTTACGGTGATTAATGCCACCCATACTCACCGCCTTAGGCGTTTCTTCGTCATTAATGCGGCGTCCATCAAAAAGAAATCGCAGCGACGCGACTGGCACGCCCACGCGCTCACTGTAGGACTTCTTCAATTTGCCCATCTGAGTTGTCATTTTCACGCGGAAGTGGATTTCATTGGAGTCCTGCAAAAATCATAACATTTGTTAATATTAACCATAACGTATTCTATTATAAGCTCTTTTGGACAGGGCCGTACGATCAAAATTAGTTTGTTCCGTAACTCCATCAGCCAATCACTGACGGCTGGCTTTTGAAGCTAAACCTACCCATCACAGACGAGGAATCGGGCATGAACTTGATCGAGTTTAAAAAGTACGGTCCCTGATGGTTAGGGTCATGATTGAGTCCATGACTGCAGCAATGTAAGCAGGGCTCCTAGCATTCTCCTAAGGAGTACTCATTTGGTAACAGTCATCACAAGTGTTTTAAAAAACATTAAGTCTACATGTTTAAAAAAATATTGTCGTTATCATGAAATTGTTTTCAAATTTCTGACCTTGATTAATGGCACAATCATGCACACGATTTTTAAAGGCTCAGTTATTCATATAAAACATGAATTTCTGATCATTTTCTCAGATTCTGACATAAAAATAAGTATAAATATATTCTTAAATTCATAAGCTCTATATTTTATAAAGTGATGAATACAAATGAAGAAAAGTTTCCGAAAAACTTTTTCAATTCTCAGATAATTAAATCTAATACCCATTAATTTCTTTCCATATCTAAAAAATTATTCAACATCAATGCATGTAAAATAGTAAACCAGACTTCAATGAGTAAAACAAGAATGGACATGGAGTATCATTACATTGATGAGAATATTAATTATATTCATTTGGATAAGTAGCAAAATACTTATAGAAAACAATTAATAGTGTTTAACATACCTGGCCCACAACTTTCAGCTTAATGTATTCATTTCCTTCGCCTTCAGGCTTGGAATCCTGTCAAAAGAAGAGTGGAATTAAACATCAATAACACAATGGGGTCTAACAATGTAAATTATTCTATTGTAGTTGGGTAAATTTCAATAATTTATAAAAAAAGTAAAATATCTTGATTTGCAAACAAGGCAATTGTATTATTTAAGTTTTTAACAATTATTCAATAAAAATATCCCTTTGGAGTTACATGATTCAAGAGCTGTGCATTTATAAAATCTTAAGATTTGAGTCCACTTTTAGAGGCATTTATTTGAACCATACTTTTCCAGGCTGTAAAAAGCTGTTTTTGAGCAGTAACCTTGTTGGCCATGCAACACACAAGTGTTGCATGGCCACTTGTTGTTAATTTTGACATAAAAATTGCAACAAAATTATCTCATCTGCAGTAAAGACTTTTACAATTTTTTTTTTTTAACAATTGCGTTTAACCCTTTCACGGGTAAGTTACCATATATGATCACTTGAAATTGCGTCACAAAAAGCCTCACCACGGCTTCCTGTTTGTTTTTGAGGCATCCTTATAATGCCTCAGTCAATCCCTAATTATCTGACCATCGTTCTATCTATAGCATAACCAGCTGCAAAGTCCACAAATTGAAATATGAGCATTTAAATGAAGGTTTTGACTCAGACAATGGAATTGATGCTCTTTCCACATTTTCTTCAAAAGGTGGAAGTATCAATATATATATTTATTTATTTTGGCAACTTGGTTAAATTTGATTAAATTAAATTTTTATGTTTCTACTTTTTCATTTGCTTAAACTGAATTTTAATTATAAAGAAAAATTTTCTGTACTGATTGCAGTTATTGAATTCTTCAAATGCAATTTAAACCTTCAATAGGCAAAATTTGCAAAAATTCATAAAAATAAATATATTGTATAATACTTCTTACTTTCTTGAAATGGTTTCTGAAATTTTAATTTCTGGATATTTCAATGCTTGCCCAGTGGTCAAGATGATACATGAACAGAGGCACATTTATTGGATTTAATATACTGAACCTATTTCCATATCTTGGGTTTTGGCCATGGACAGTCATTTACTAAGCACAAATTTATTTACAAAGTCCATGCATGTGTTACCGCAAATCTGTAACTTTACAATTAAACAGTTAAATGGCAACAATAACATTTGTCTTTACTGTAAGCTGAACATGTATTAGGCCTAATGCAGTCTGACTGTCTGACCACTCGGTAACTATGAACATTTAGGTTAACTTATTAGCATTACACTGATTACGTTCTGCAGGATATTTTGGTGGGAACGGTAAAGTAATGTGGATTGCAAAGTGCAAACCATGATTTTTTCAACCAAACAAAAATTTATGACATTCAAGCTGCAAGATTTAATACTTACTGAGATTATGTGATATTAGAGCCACAGTATTTCAGAAAAAATCTGACTTTTACAGCCCTGTATTACAGGATTGGAATTTTCCTACTTGTTTCTGAAATCTCACGGCTCCAACACAACAAATTTTCAATAGGGTAAATGCGGTATATTCCGACATCGTAGGTAATTCCGTCACCTCTCCAGCTTTTCCTTTATATTAAGCTTTGTTTAAGTTCCATGCGTTCATTGATGGTTGAAATGGTGACGTCATACATTTGCGTGTCGAAATACTGCAAAAACACTAGGTCTTGGCCATCTAGCAGGAAAATATTGAGATCCAAAATAAATTTGAAGCGCTGACGCAATACGACTCACCACGTGTCAAATGTTGCCACACAAAGTGACGGAATATAGGGATTTGGTAGGTTTCCATTCTAAAGGCTTTTTAATAAATATGGCAACATTTTGTGACGTTTCATCGTTGCTGACGCGTAGTGAAGTGTTTTGAGAGTCATGTGAAGGCATAGTGGCAAACCACAGCTTTTTTAGAATCAGTTCATTTTCAATTTCCTCATTTACCCAAGATTTAAACCAATTTCTTAAGTATGATGATGCTAGTATCCAGGATACTTTACTGGTCTACTTATAGGACTCAAAAATGAACTTGAGGGAGAGTCTAAAAAACTCTCTGCTTTGCCACTATGTGTGAAGGCAACAGAACTTACGTAACACATATGTTTTTTTTTATAGTTTTTCATTTCTTGATGCGTCCTTAATGTGTCGGAATATACCGCGTTTACCCTACATAGGAATCTCACGGCCCATTCATGCACTTTTGTTAACAATTGGATAGGAGGTAGATAATTCATCTGGCCAAAATCTCATGGTTCCAGAAATGGTGGGAAACCTCTAATCTCTAGCTTGTCCTGTACATTAACACAACAATTAGCAAGTTTGCTAAGAAACTTATTTTCAAATAAATTTATTCATAATATTTTTGACATTCACAAAGTTAATTTTGCCTTTAAATAGTATGTAGGCCTAACATCTTCAGAGCATGTAAATATTAACAATACCAATAGAAAAATAGGTAGCTGAAGTTGATCAATCATCTTCTCTGCAGCCGTGAACTTGTGAAGTAATAAACATGTTTTGAATATTGGCTGCAGATAGCACTCAGCATAGTGGCGAAACAAGGATTTCCTTAGAATTAGGTAGGTACCTATACGCTATAGTATAGTTCCTTCTTAATTTTTGCATCTACTAGGTACCTAAGATTTGAACCTAGATCTAATGTACCTATAATGCTGATAACTGGCATCCACGATAGGTACCTTTTTGATTTACCAGTTGGACTCTAAAATGAGCTCGGGGAAGAGTCTAAAAGAAGCCTCACTTTGCCAAATTCACACTGACTATGAATAGGTAGAAGGCAGAAGCCATCAATATCGCACGACCGGTGCAATGAAACTATGCAGCGTCAGCCGATTCAAAAGTTTAAAATGAAGACAGCCGAAGATTATCACAACACATCTAATAAATTTTCGTTCATTTAAACGAACATTGTTTACGATGCATAAGATTTGAGGTACTTACAGCGTTATCACCCATTCTTGGAAACAGGAAACGAGCACAAATTACACAACCGTAACCTCTAACAGCACGCACACGTCTGAGTGTTGCCAACACAGGTGCTGAAAAAGTCAACAGTCAATCTCTATACGCGGGAAAATTCATCAAAACGAAAAGCACAATTGCTAGAGCTCCAGCTTAAAATTTTTAAGCTGGCACTTGTGAAGAAATATAATTAAAAAGCAAAATCATGTAAAGCAGGAAATTGTTTCGGGTATTTTAGTGGAAATTTTGAACCGAGACTCAGAGGCTTTTTTTTACTTACGTCATATTATGTTTAGACAAAATTTTATGAAAGGACAAGTAGAAAGTAGATCAAGTCGAAGAGAGAAATTCGATTGTTATATCAATTGCTAAGACGCGCGAACCACACTCCTTTTTTCACAGACCATCACCGCGGCCGCGAGTCCAGCCGTAAAATTGTCCGAGACGTCTTCTCTCGGCCCTCTCTTGATAATGGAGAGTCTGATAACGGCCTATTTTGACATGGGTCTCCGCCAAAGATGCTGACTTTCTTTCCAATGCAAATGAGCTTTTAACGTGCTCACATCTATACTCATTACGTAAACTTTGGTTATGAGTTATTACTGTGTCCTAAGGCCGATCGCTTATTACTCTGGAGTTTGGATATTTATTGACTAAATGCATTTCAGGTCGCCATGGCCAAATTTTCACTCGGCTTTGATACTGTCATGTGAGGACGATAAAGCTTCTCTCGTATGTGCTTGTTGCAGTCTCGACTCTCGAGCACGACATTCCAAGCTTTCGCATTGAGCTATGATCGAATTCGCATCTCTCTGCCCCTCAATCTTGGAACTCTAAACTGTAACCACTGTGCCACGCTGTCCTTATAATAGCGATGTCAGCGTTAATTAGGCCGTAGGCCTGTTGCCGATTCTTAACTTCGCAGAGCATTCGCATCCTATTGTGATTTCGAACAAGCAACTCACTGCTCTAATCTTGCTCTTCTTTACCGCCCGGGCCTCCTCGCAGATTCTGCTCACTCGTGGAGACGCATTCGCAACGATGGCACAACACGATCGTGACGGGTGACTTCTGCTGCCTGTGCATCGCGAAATTTAAAAGAGCAGGAAAAACTGAAATCCAAATTCTTCAAGCGAATTATATTGCATTCTGGTGGAATTTTTTATTTAGATCATTTATAATGAAATGAATACATAAACGATTTTTTATACAACTATCATTAAAATCCTGATTTCAAGGCAATAATAGTATTTCTGTCTTTGAAGTCGGCTCGAAGTTAACAGGTTATGAAATAGTACACGAAGAAGAGGTTCTCAAGCGCCTGGTAGCTCTAAATCACAAGTCATGGGGACCAGACGGCTTCCATCCCAGATTACTCAAAGAATTAGCAACCGTTCTGGCCGACCCATTGACAGTATTCTTTCAAAAAACTTTCAACGAATGAACTTTGTCCTCCGACTGGAAAGAAGCTCAAGTTACACCATTGTTGATTCCGCCACAGAGGTGTTGATTCCGCCACCACACCTCTGTGTTTCCCTCGCCAGCTGCAGCTCAGCTGTTTTTCCAGCCTTAATTTTCGAGGGAACTTTACTATACTCAACTCAACTCAGTCGTATGTTTCTCCGTCCTTTTTCTGTATTTTTCTCCGTTCAAGAGATCTAGTTCGTGCATTTAATAATGGCTGGATGGAAGTCTAGTAGCTTCTTCAAACTATCGCCAGTCATGAAAAGATCCGGTCAAATGACACGAGTTTAGATCTATGAACAAGGCACGAAATGGAAAAGAATCGGCGACAGGCCACATCAGGCCTACTCTTCAGAGCCGACATCACTATGTTATGTTATGTTATGTTATTGTTCAAAAAATATAACTCAGTCCTCACTGCAGTGAGTGACAGAGAGCGCATTTTCTCGTCGACGAAAACTTGAGGTCACGGACAGACGGACGGACAGACAGAGACAGACGGACATGGCGAGCACAATAGTGCATTTATTCCATAAATGAGAAAATGCGCTAAAAAGGTGACATAAGCAGCCCCGGCAACTATCGCCCTGTCAGTCTGACAAGTGTTGTTTGTAAGCTAATTGAATCTGTTGTGAGGGATAGGTTTATCGATCACTTAACTGCTCACCATCTCATATCAGATTGTCAACATGGTTTTATTGCCGGTAGATCCTGCACCACTAACTTATTATCTACGTTGAACGATTGGACTCGCCTCCTGGACGAAAGGGAGCCAGTGGATGCATTTTGCCAAAGCATATGACAGTGTTCCGCATGAGCGGCTGTTGCGTAAAATGAAGTCTTTGGGAATTGAGGGAAACGTACTCCAATGGATCAGAGACTTTATAGTAGGTAGGCGACAACGTGTCAGTATTAACGGAACCGTGTCAGACTGGGCATCAGTGCGCAGTGGCGTGCCACAAGGAGGCGTTCATTTGCCTATTTTGTTCGTTGCTTTTATAAACGATCTGCCAGAAGCAGTGTCCAGCGTGTGCTCCATGTATGCCGACGACACAAAAGTTTATAATACAGTGAAGAATACGTCGCAAAAAGTACAGTTACAAGGTGATCTTGACAGGCTGGTTGACTGGGCTGATAAGTGGAAGCTGCGTTTTAACGCTGACAAATGTAAAGTAATCCACCTTGGCAAGAATAATGAACAGCAAGATTACAGTATGAGCTCATCCGGTTTCACAACAGTTTTCGAGTCCACCATCCCCGTCTGGTGATTAAAAAATATTTTAAGGTGAAAATTTATATCGCAACACAATATAGAATGCAAGACCCAGATATATTTTCTGGCAGGAAACTCTTGATTAGCAGACGGGCGGTCGCAGACATGTCTAAAAAATCTCAAAAAAGAAAAAAAAAAACAGAAAGGAAATGATAACACCAGTTTATGCATTTCATTTAGTTTTAATCGTTTCCTAGAAAGAAACTGATCGCACGAAATCTTGCAATGGCTATCCTATGACAGTAGCAGTAAACACTCACAATCCTCTTATTTACAAATGCAAACATAGAAGCTAGCTCCTTAGCTCCTCAAATACTTGTCAAGAATACAGTCTAGTGAGAGAATTCTGGAAGGCCAAAACAACGCCACTTAGACGATAGAGGAATTAATGTACATCAATAACATTCCAACGAAAATTGGCTGAAATCTTTATAAGCTTTACTAACAATGCCTATATCCATGCGTAAATATATTTCAGCATTTTTTCGAGGATATTCATCAACATCAAGTTTAAGCATAAGATCCAAGGGTCGCACGGGGCCATTAGATCGCATTGCAACGTTTATCAATTAGCTGAAATAATGTTCAAGAGGCGGTATGGTGGCGAGCTGATGATTCCTCCTAACCTAAAGCTGCATAAAATGCACAAGTGAGCAATCAAGAAAATGTGTCGAGTTCCAAAAATAAGCAAGAGCGGAAGCCTACAATCGTTTACGATTTTCACTGAAAAAATACACAAAAGGTTGTTTAAATCAACACTGTCTAACAGCATAGTGAAACTGAAACGAATATTAAACTTTCTAAAAACTTCACAGGAAGTCAGTTTGATCACGAGAGTTGATAAATGAACAGCACAAAACGAATATTAATAGAACAAACTGTAAAATAGAAGTTACAATGAAGTATAAAGTGGACTCGTTAAATTGTGGATAAATACAAAATTATGAAATATGAACACGGCCATTCGTTTAATAAACAAAAAAAAAAAATAAAGTAATGGCTAAGTAATATCAGCTGTTGACAAAGCTGCGTTCACAGCCAAGTCGCAAGCAGCCAAAGAAATACTGCGAGTTGAAATGCAAATACTAGCATGGGAAATTGAGCTGGCTAGATACGAGTCGAGTCATAAATTCCACCTGCCATCAGTAGAGATTCTTGGCAAAGTTCTCCATCTTGCTTGAGGAAAAGCTTGTAAGAAAAGACATCTTGAAAACTGAGGCAACATTCGAAAATCCATCTCACGAGTCGTAAATTTCATGTCATACTCGTACTTCCACATCATTGGCAATCATAGTAAACGTGAGATAGAATTCTAGTGTTAGGAAAAACTGTACTTTAAAAAAACGCTTAGATATTCATGAACGATGGTTGTAATGAACGACATAGTCCTGGAATGGTGCAGCGGAATCTAGAAACTGAAGAAGGGATCAACGCAGCTGACTGACAAAACGTCAGTCTAGAACATGAAGATTGCTCGAGTGATTGCTGTCAAAAAAAAAAAAAAAACTCCAGACCTGATATTTTTGACAAATATTCAATCCAGATTTAACGCTATAGTTGTTCCTTGCGTTCCAAGGAGAACCATTTGTCAAAAATGATAAATAACAGTTATCTTTATATTAACCTCAATATTAACAGCATAACGAAAGGACGAATGCACTCGAGCGTAGACACAACGATTATGTACGGGACCAGATAAGTTGTAACAACTTAATCGTCACTTGAAAGACTTGTGAAAGCGACCAGCAGAAAAAACTAATATTTACAAAAGTAAAAGAAAACAGGGAAGATTTGATGAAAGTATTTTGATTGCAATACCCATAGCAGCCGCTAGTTGGGGAAAAAAATATCTATGAACTATGCAGACTCTATCCACCTTCGTAAAGCTTCCAACAAGTAATGGCGATTAGCCGAACAACACCAGATCGCCTCTTTCAGCACGCTGAAAGAGTAGGCTAGCACAACAAAAAAAGTCGTTTGGTTTGTAAATCTTACAAGGATATTCCGCGTACATCTTTCCTTTAGTTACACCACATTCCCAAGTATCCTTTTTGCGAAAGAACCATCACAATGACTTCCCTGTTGAATTTACCTAACCAGGAGTATCATTAAGTTAAGCAAATGTAAAGGCTGAAGTGGATATTCTACAATGTTGATAGAAATTACATGAGGTGCTTGTACATGATTCAACATGACATCAATGTTACAACATGACATCAAGTCTATGAGGTGCCCTATTGCTGCATCACAAATCAATATACATAATGTTTCAGGGACAAGTCTCGCCGCAATACTCACTCACTTGAATCAATCCATAATTTCATAGTGTGAAAGAACCAAGACAAATTAAGCGATGCCCAAACTGTTTTTGAAATGAATGTTCTTCAGAAAATGAGCCTCCACGTCATGTCCAGAGAGTCGACAACAACACCAGGACACAGCTATGCTACACTTCGACTGTAATTGTCCAGCATAGACATTGCATGCTGGAACGTTACATGCGCAAGCTATCGTGAGCTTCAGTCATCACAATAAAGCTATCGTGAGCCTCAGTCATCGCAAGCTATCGTGAGCCTCAAATGCATCACTGTGATGAACGTCCAGTTTAAGAAAATTAAGACTGGCTGGAAATGCGAACACGTGGCACAACATAATGTTGGTTAGGATAGGTGTATTTGCAAGAAAGGTGGCAACATTAATTAAGTCACGGCGTACAGACGGGAGCAACGTCATACAGATATCCGTGAATTTATTTTTATTGTTTGTCGGCGCAGGTTTCTGTGCTGCAAATACAATACTACCCCCATCGTCAAAAATATAAAAAACGCCCGAGAAAATAATAATTACTTAAGACTAACAGAAATAGTAGTCAAACTGCAGCTCGGCAACTGAATGGGTAATTTTCAAAAAACTGAAAAAGTCCTTTCCTATTTAATTATCGCTGGTATAATATTTGAAGCGCGAAGCCTGGTCTCGATGCAGATAGATGAACATTAGCGGGTTTAGACCCTGAAGGCGGCAAGGGAGTCGTGTAGAACCACGAGAGCCTCCAAGGAATTATACGGCGTGGTAAGGTTGATAAGTTTGTCGCCATCTTGTTGACTAGACTGCAGCACTTGCTCACTCTCCAGCATCTTGATGCAGTTTTTGATAGGGTCCGCGGCAATGCATTCACCTGCAATCAAAATGAACATAGGATAAGACGCTCTTAGATGTTGCTAATTAACAGAGTTAGACTTTTTGCGAGATTACTTTGTACCTTACCAAAAAATAAAGTACAGATTTACTAATACGAATTTTATCCATAGGCATCGTGATGGAATTCTGTTAAAGCATTCATAACTTAACAGTGAAACGAGTGTCAGCCACCAGAGAGGCACACTGAGTTAAACACCCTCTACCATCTTTGACTGATTATGGACATAAGTTCATAGAGCTTCTATTTTAGTTCTCACCAAATTTGATCGATTCATCAGCAAGTCTTTCTCGGACCAAGAGCTGGGTTTTAGCAACCAGTTCCTTTTCAGGGATTTTAGTTCCGACGATGGCCTGCAGAGTTTCCACGGTGCTGCAGTAAGCGTCTAGCAGAGGCGTGAGCATGTTGGAGAAGGTGGTGAGGCAGCTCAGAGTGGCCGTGGTGGGCAAGACGTTATACACGACCGTGTACAACATATTATTCTCGTTGCCCACCACGTCACATGGCTCGTTGGTAACTTGCCAGCTATCAAAGTCATCTTGGTGAGCGCTAGCCCCATGGTATCGCCGACTGCGTAGTAAACATATTTAAAATCAACGAGAATTAAAAAAATATGAGATATATATAATGATAAAAACACTACTTTTGATTACGATTCTGCTGATGAAAAAAAAAGACTCATACTAAAAAGTTCGAGGACGATAAAACCATGAAGCGGAGAATAAATGAACGTCATTATAAAATGAACTAAATGCTAGCAATGTGTTTCTTTAGGCATCTTCAATGTAACTCTGAAGAACACATACGCATGATCACAGACTGCACCAACCTGAGGCTCCTGCTAAGACTTTTGTTCTCGGAGAGGAAGCCAATAACGCAGAGTCTGTCGACAGCGTCCAGAAGGCGCGTCGACAGATTGCCGCAGGGAGCGTAGAGCACAAACTCGTGTGCGAACACCTCGCACAGCCGCAGCGACCGTTTCATCAACTGAATAATACATGCTCGCTTGTAACGTTTTCTCATTTTTTTTTTGTTGTTGTACTCACTTTTAAAATTATCATGTTCCCTCAATACCTAAAATGCCATCAAAATTTTTATTGTACCAGACGTCGTGATAATATCTTTGTAGAATAATAATAATAAGTGCTAGATATGTACTGAGATAAATGTGGTCTGATCTCATCAAGCAATCATCAAGCAAGCCGTCAACGAACATGAAGATGTCGATGATGTTAATAACGGTATTTTTTGACGAAGCTGTGTAGTTATGAAAGAAAAATATATTTTTGAACGATTTGAATTATTAATTTGGACTTCATTTTGCTTTTGTCATTTTTTTTTTGTTCTATAAATAAACATTAAAAATAAAATACTTAAAAAAAAAACTTTAAAAAACCCTGTTTTTCTTGTGGACTAAAAAGTAGAAAATAAATTATGGCTCGCCCCAAAAAACGTGTGTCGGGCAGATTTATGATTAAAGCGAAAAGCACACAACACACGAATTTTGGAAATTTGATGGTGAACGTACAGCCCTCCCCACGTTTTTTGGGACGAGCCATAATTTATTTTCTACTTTTTAGTCCACAAGAAAAACATGTTTTTTTAAGTTTTTTTAAGTATTTTATTTTCTCCTTTTTAGTCCGTTGCTACACATGAAAAACGTTGTTGCGAGCCAATTTACTTGACTTGTACGTATCGATGATACGCAGCGTCAGCGCCTGCTCGTCTATAACGTCAGCGTCCGCACGTCATACTATATATTTACTATATATATACTTTACTCAATTAAGTTTTTATGATTGTATCTAAAATTGTTAGGCGAAAATAGCCTGCATGCCGAATTTCAGATCTCAAGAGCAATCAGAAGTGGGCGAATTTTCGTTGTCAATGTTAACAACAAACAAACAAACGCGAAGCTGAGTAAAGACAAACGTGTTAAAATAACGAAGATTCTACTTTATTGAGACCTTATCGAGTTCGACGGTGATGCTGGGCTCGGTGTCGCAGTACGGCCACAGCTCGCAGTCCAGGATGCTCTGCAGGCTCACCGCTGCACACACAATAACGTCCTTAGTAACATCACAAACACAAAAATCATTACTCAACTTAAAAATTTATCGAAATAAATTAGGAAACATTTAAGTATGACATCCTCAACCGTCATTCAGAGACGAACGCAGTGCATCAACAAGGAACACACAAGTCAAGGCATCATCACAAAAACTCATATAAAGCAACGAAAACAAAAAGGTTCACTAACAATTTAATCTTTCCTAAGTAGGATATATAATAAACATAAAGGTTTGCAAGCATTTTTTCGTAAATAGTATTTTTATACTCAACACAAAGATTAGCTAATTTTCTTCACACGTAGTAGACAAAATTGAGCGCCGCAGCAATCTCTCACAAAACAGTAGGGAACACAACAGGTTGCCGATGATGGCACAGCTCACCGATGATGGCGTCGATGGCGAAGACAGGCAGCAGGGCGTTGGCGTAGTAGTTTAGCTCGATGACGTTGGGCAGGCATGTGACGGGACTGTAAACTGTCACGCCGTCCCTCACTTCCGTCCTGATCAGTGATGGCCCGAGTAAACGAACCTGAGCAACACATATACAACAATCAGCTGCGGCGGGAGGACATTTATTATTAAGCAAAAGTTTACTTAAATTCAAATATAAAAAAATTCTTGAAACAATTTTTCAGGACTAATCCCACTTTTTTTTGCCACCTGATCCTGTTAAGAGCACTACATGGCGTTTGTTCCTTTAATATAGATCATTTTCAAGAGCATCTAGAGAGCTACGAGCATTTTTTTAAAGGAAAATAAAAATGCTTGCCAACACACGGGCACGACAGCAGCACGTACTGCGTGATTGACAACACACGGGCACGACAGCAGCACGTACTGCGTGCTTGACAACACACGGGCACGACAGCAACACGTACTGCGTGCTTGACAACACACGGGCACGACAGCAGCACGTACTGCGTGCTTGATAACACACGGGCACGACAGCAACACGTACTGCGTGCTTGACAACACAAGGGCACGACAGCAGCACGTACTGCGTGCTTCACAACGTCCACGGAGTCGCCGGTGAAGCCGACGTCACGGCCGCGCTGCTGCAGGAGGGTCTTGAGGTCGTGGACGGCAGCACTGAGCAGCGGCAGCGTCGCACCCCCGCGGTGCTGGAAGCTCACCACCCACGCCACCAGGTTGCTCGACATCATCGCCTGACACCGTTCAGCGTCTGACATAACAAATCAGTTGATAAGAGCTACAACACATTGAACCACAACTCAGACTCGGTGTAAGAAAAGATCAACTATTTATATTGCCTACGAAAGATTTTACTTGCAAAATGCAACGCACTTAAGGTGACTTGCCTGCCTATTTAAATTTCTAATGCTATTCTAACAAATTTTTCCACTCAAAGATTTAGTGGCTTCCAGTTGTTGCAATCAGCGTAAATAAAAATTTCCTTCAATTCCTGCAAAGAAATAAATGGTAAAAACAGTTCACATCTATGACGGGTTAATGTTTATACAAACGATTAACATCTTGAGCAATATTTAGGCTGTGGCAGGTACGGGATCTTATGAAACTTGCACTTGTGATGAAAAACTCCTGGGCCTAAACAAGCGAGATGTGAGAACACCCAAACCTAACCAACTGTGATATAGCAACACCATAGCCTCACCCACTGTGACACAGAAACACCCCAGCCTCACCAGCTGTAACATTACAACACCAAAAACAATGTCTCACCAAACAATAGTCTCACCAAAAACAATGTGCTGTCCAAGCTTCTTGACGAGTTCTCTGAATTCGTCTGTGAGCTCCGTGCCGAAGAGGGAGGAGTTGCTCATGGCAGGGAGGAGCTGCGTGTCTGTGGTACAGGGGACGTCTGACGAGGAGGCCGGGGCAGCGAACGAAGAAATGGACGGAGGGCGCTGCACTGTGAGGTGGGACGCAGCCACGGGACTAGACAGCGATCTGGAAATGAGCAAATAAACCTATCATTTATCTGATGAACATTATCATTACTGTAAATAAAATTACCATTCTTGATGGAATCAGTTTCAATTAAAAACAGGGAGCACATGTACACAATAACGAGGAAACAACTGACGATGCGGAACAAAGATCAGTTTCAGCTTGTCTCTTATTGCGCTCTATTAAAACTATACAATTTTTATCAAGTCTACATGACACTGATATATGAATTGCAGAATGTATAATTTTATGCAAGCTTTCGAATCACTCAATTATGTATCTCAGCATATAATCAAATCATTAATAATACATAAATTGCTCGTAAAGCCATAAAAAATGAATCGATATTACCATCTACTTTTGCCATTACCACCTGTAACATCCAACAGAATTCATACATTTGTCAAACATTTTAAGATGACAATGAGCAATGTCATGAAAGATAATGATGAATCGTGTACAATATTCAGTCAGGGATACTTTCACCATAACGGATCAACGATGCGAGTGATAACAATGAACAATACCGCACCTGTGGTGGCCTTTGCTCGCGGCGCCGGCAAAGTTACTGAGCAACGTAGTGCCGCTCGCCGCGAGCTGCGCCACAGGGATGCGACTCAGCTGCACGAACTCCTTCAGGCTGAAGGGCGCGCCGAAGTCAATGCGCGACTGGCCGTAGTTAGTCGAAAGCACTTTACAGATCGCGCACACGGCGCCCCAAAATGACTCCGGCACCTGCAGGTCATATAGTGTTGACTAAACACCTGTTAGACTGCATAATTGTGAAACTTCAGAATCTTAATAAGAGTTGTTACAGCTTTGCATATGCAGTCTGACAAACATTTAAAAGTGTAAAGAAACTAATTAGCAAACTTACTGTAATACCTCCCTAAATTTGGAAGTAAATGGTCAAGCGTGACATGGACGAGAATTGTATTGTAATAAAATTATCTATTTAATGTAAATAATTTTGCTACGCATCATTAAACTATGGTATAAAATTATGATTCCATTACGGTATATTGCAAGTAGTGAAAGTATGAGCAGATTTTGTTCGACCCTCCCATCACTCATCGTACCTTGCTCTGGCCGAGCTGCTCCCTGATGAAGTTGCCGTCGACGAGCTTGTCGTAGTTGATGGCTATGGGAACGATCATAGCGTCGTCCAGCATGCCGCTAAGATAAGCGTCCAGAATGACACTCAGAAGCCCACCTGGGGACATATATTTTGCGAATCAACACACATACGAAACATACAATAATTCATACAGATTTGAAAAAATTGGGTAGGGCACTAAATACGCAACCTGAATTCTTCGAAAAAGTTCCTTTTAGTTGGAAAATACAAGCTTTTTGAGCAAGAGTATAAGTCTAAAATCTGACTACGCCAATCGTTTAATGGATTGATGAATTTAATTACCAATCAAGTCCATTTTAAACGTGGTTTGAGAACTCTATTATTAGAATTTGACAGAATTCTAAAACAGGTAATTACAGATGTCAGTGTATCTTTGACTCAAAAACTCAGCCTAAACTTCAAGGAATAACTAAAAACTAGTTCAAGATAGTGGGAAATTTTGGGAAAATTGAAAAATGTGAAACCGTCACATCAGTAAGAATACAACAATACAACATGAGATTTTCTCCAAACCTTTGGGCATGGCAGGCTTGCCGGTGCGAGTGCGGCCGCCCTCTATGAAGAACTCGAGGTTGTACCCCGCGTGTAGGGAATGGCTCATGTAGCACTGCAGCAGCGCGCGGTACAGCACGTCACGACGCGCCTTGTTGCTCTCCAGCCGCCGCTTGATGAAGAAGCCGCCTGTGCCACGCAGCAGCGCACTGCAATGACAAATTACATCAAACATCAATTATTCTCACTCCAGTTGTGAGCCTCAAACACAAGCTAATAAGTTAGACAATATAAGCTACATGAATAGTTAACAATATGGTTTTAATAGATTTAACACCGTATTATAAACCAAATTTTAAGCAAAGTGAAAATGCTTGATCACAGCTTGATTTTCTTCAAACATTGCACGTAAACAAGAGGAAATGTATCTTCAGTTATTTCGATTTTTACAGTAAATTAAAAAAAATAAATTAATAGCGTCAATAGTCGAAGATTACAATGCATAATGGCTGTTCAATCCCAGTTCTCTAATTATATCAAAGGCAACAAGAAACTGGTAAAGGAAATCAATTCAGCAAAAGGCTGTCATAGAGCACACGTACTAATTAGAAACATATTTCACATGCTAAGAGCTCACCCAAAAACGGGCATGTTGAGGTTTTCGCCGGCAGCGACGATGGGCGCGGGGATCTGGCAGTTGAAGAGCACCCACGTGACGAAGAGGTAGTCGACGTGCGAGCGATGCAGCGGCACGAAGATCAGGGGCGTGCCCTTCTTGGAAGCGCGTTGGATGGCCTCGAGCTGCCCTTTGTGCACCACCACAGACTTCAGCAGTCGTGAGAACACTTTGAAGAGCACGTAGCCTGTTATTCTGCACGCAGAGACAGCAATAATTCAGAGGGGCTGCTTAGATGATTGTTCGTGGGCACGTAAGAGGGCAACGTGGGCACGTAAAGAGGGCATCGTGGGCACGTAAGAGGGCATCGTGGGCACGTAAGAGGGCATCGTGGGCACGGAAGAGGGCATCGTGGGCACGTAAGAGGGCATCGTGGACACGTAAGAGGGCATTGTGGGCGCGTAAGTGGGCATCGTGGGCACGTAAGAGGGCATCGTGGGCACGTAAGAGGGCATCGTGGGCACGTAAGAGGGCATCGTGGGCTCGTTAGTGGTCGTGCTTCTCACCACAAGCACCACACCAAACATCTCACCACAAGCACCACACCAAACATCTCACCACAAGCACCACACCAAACATCTCACCACAAGCACCACACCAAACATCTCACCACAAGCACCACACCAAACATCTCACCACAAGCACCACACTAACCTGATGAGTGTGGTAGAGATGGCAGCCTTCATATCATTAAGGATGCGGTGCGCCCTAGCGAGCTGCATGGTCCTCAATGACCTGCAGGACGCTGCTCGCTTCTCCACAGGCAGGTCCTCAGGGATGCTCTCGTTCACAACCTGGTCCACGGCCGTCTGGATGCGGTCGTCTTCCAAGATTACCTTTCCAAATAATGACTCGAATTAAAATGATGAAATAAATACTGCTGTAAAAGGCAGTTATATGATAAAAAGTTGTTCTGACGCATCTAGAAGTGAAATAGGGCTAAAGTGATAGTGAAATTAATTATGACGTTCTATAAATAAATCATGATTATCATTACTTTGCTTCTAGCGATGCGACTCAATAACCGTGCAATTTTTCATTAATAAAGCACGCAATTGGTATGTAAAAATTGTTCAATAAAAAAGATAATTATTAATGTTCAAAAATGTTCACTCCCAAAAATTTTTTCGAAAGTGAAAAGTATTAAAACACTCATAGAAGAAATAAATCAGTCAATATAATTGGTGTCCTTTTGAACAATGAGGAAGGAAAGTACATTGAAATATTGAACGAAAGTATTGTAAAGAAATTTTTGTAGGTTACTTTGTGTTGACATTTGGATTACCTTGTTGCTGATGGCAGGGTAGGAGAAGTTGACGTTAGGATTACCATGTTGCTGATGGCAGGGTAGGGGAAGTTGACGTTAGGATTACCATGTTGCTGATGGCAGGGTAGGGGAAGTTGACGTTAGGATTACCTGGTTGCTGATGGCAGGGTAGGGGAAGTTGACTTTAAGTCTGGAGCAGTGTACGAGGTAGCAACAGTAGCGTGTGAACCAGTGCTGGCTGGGGTCACTCGTGGTCACGTGCAAGATGTTATAGTGGCCAAGCTCTCCCCACGCCCCGGCCGACTCGCTCACACCCTGAAAATTGAATAGGTACAAGTCATCAATGCATCAAATTATAATTAATTCCATTAATCCAACGTTAAGTTACCTTACAAAATTGATGCACCAGACAAAATTGTAAAAAAATACAAAGATTCGTTTTTCAGTATTTCATTTGTGGCAAAGCGGCACGCTGGTGTTTTAATTCAACTGAACGTTACAACTACTGCAACGTGCTGAACATTTCTCACGGAATGGGTGATAAAATAAGTTAGTGGTCAACTTGACGAAAATTAGTGATTTCAGTATACTCTTTGAACAACAAACGGAAATTGCGAATAACATCGTCATAAAAAAGCCAACATGTTGATGTCCACCAAACTGAAGGGCTAAACGTCGGCTGATGACGACACGACTGGACTTATCAGGTCTTAGAGATTTGAATTGTGACGCCACAATTTCAACAAGATCACGGATAAACACTGTCATAATCTCGCGTCAAGGAATTTCGGAATATAATTATAATACAGAAGCAGCTAAGGGGGTAGGTCAGAATTAAGAGCTATACAAACGTGCTCACTAGTTTTAACCTATGCTATATAAACCGACTCATTTTCGTGACGTTAGTCCGAAGAAGGATGAAAAATTATAGATATATTTTCTTAAGAACTTTCTAAAATATTTTTAATTCCACGTCGCAAATTGAAACCGAAAATTTTTAGTCATATTATGGTTTTAAAGTTGAATAATTTATTATAATGTAAAAAAATCGTCGAAATAGTGATATTAGTCAGGGATATTTTTCTTCAAGCGATTGAAAAATTTTAAATGACGTAAATTTCAGTGCCTGAGCTACCGCTTCTTTACACTATAGCACTCCACTCAACTCTAAAGCGCGTTCGAAGCGCTTGTGCGAGACTGTTCAGGCAGTGATACACTTTCTGCGCTAGTGTGGGTCATCCTGACCCAGTTTGGCCCGGCGAAAGCGCGTATCTATGCTAGGTACGTCTGCTCTCGGTTCGTATTGAGAGTAAGAAAGCCCGTTACTATTTGGACCATATGACCCATTATTTTTGTAAATGAAGATGATAGATGTTAGCCTGTAACACAAACCGGGGGTGGGATGGAGAGCTGCCTGATTCAATGCAGCCGTCTGATATCTGATGCACGCATTGGTAATAACAAATTGTCTAATTTATTCTAACAGTTAATAAATCATGGAGCATCCAAAGGCATGAATTACAATAAATTTATGAAGTGCGGCCATTTAGAAATCAAAGTTTGTGCAAGACCGCCGCGGGAGGCACAGACATGGCGGCGATTATAAACACAGGTGATCGATGCATGGAATGACAATTCCAGAAGACGAATTCCGCATTTAGTGCAATTCCCAATGACGAGTCTCGCATATCGGATTATCATGTTGCACTTGATCTTTACGGGCAACTAGAACCAATAGCGACGTCGATATTCTGCATCCAGTTTGTACAGTAAAAATGTCGATCTCAATTTCGATTAACATTTTCAAGTCAATCTACAGCCTTGAGGTTCGTAGAATGCAGACCAATTACATTTTGTGATACGATAGCATGGCTATCGTAATCTTATACTTTGCATTGGTTGTCTCGTTAATTTTTCCGTATGTTAGTATTCTCAGTAGCATAAAATACAGCTCATGACTGAAGGAAAGCAAGGCCAACAGCTTTCATCAATCGGCGTTGAACAACATCATGGGAGAGACAGTGTAACATGGAACACGTACGGTGATGAATAACAAGCGACGCGGCATTTTTATTGATGTGGATTTGCTTAAATATTGATACTCTTGCTATATTTATAATTAATAAAATGGATAAGATTACCTCCAAAATCGTAGGTGCACTAATGCCCAACATTCATGGACACTTCGGCTACACATCCAGAGATGGCTTGGTGACAGCACAATAATTTCTAGAAAGGGTCACGTAGAGCAAGTTAAAGCGGCGGCCAGAAAACGGTTTAGCGTGACTGCAGCTGTAAAGAAAATTGTTGCGTGCATTGTTATTGAAGTGCGATTTACCGAGTAAATGTGACGTTCAAGCCTGCTAAAAAGCACTTACTGAGCAGATGAGCGTGGGGTTCTAGGCTGTTAAAGAGCACTTACCGAGTGAGAAGTATGGCGTTGAAAGCTGTTAAAAAGCACTTACCCGAGTAGATGAATGGAGTAAAGTGCTGCTCAGGGATACGTGCAAAGTAGATAAGTTGGGTAAAGTGCGGCTCAGGGATACGTACCGAGTAAGAAATTTGGAAGCTGGTAAGGTCACTGAGACGAGGACGTGTAGATAGCAAGCCTTGCCCAAAGAGAAGCGCCTCGCTGGCAAGGGAACTTGAGTCTATGTAATTTCGTTTCAAACCGCCATCCGCAGACGAAACAACCTTGTCAATTTTGATGTCATCACCATCGACAGTTTGTCGAGTGTCATCCTTGGTTTTGACTGGAATTCGTTTTCGAACCGCATCACTTTCAACGTTTTCAGGAGCAGGAGTGTTAGTTTGTTGTACAGACATAGGTGGGTCTCTCGCCGGAGTTTTTCGCATGGACTTGTGAGATTTCGCGTCCTTGGGATAGGGCGGGAGGCAGGGAGAGACAATCATAGAATTATCTTCAGAGGTTGACGAGGGCGAGAAAACACCATTCCGACAGGGTTTGGTCAGGTAGGGCGTTTGAGGTGACAATCGAACAGCCGGTGCTCGGTCATCATCAGACTCCAAAGCCCTTGAGAGGTTTGGTAAAAATTTGTCATCATCAGGTTTCTTGTAGCCACTCATATCACAAGTATCGCCGTTGAGACTATGACCATAAGAATTATTGTTGAGGGGATAACCATTACAATGACCATTCATCAGGTCTCCGGAGATGGCACCATTATGGTGGTTACCATTACTCACGACAGCTTCATTTCTATGGTCAGTAGAGTTATCAACGGAGGGCTGGCGGGACTCTAGGTTCCCGTTCTTCTCGATAGGGCGAGGGGTGGCGGCCCAAGGGAGGCCAGAGTTTCTCTCAATTCCAAGGGCCGGCATGGTCAAGCGCGCCTACGCGACTCCTGTACCTCCTCGGATCCCAACCCCGACTACAGGGTACCAGGACTCAACTATGAGGGCACTATACACACAGTAATACTAAGCACATCTCTGTAATATGGAAAATACAATTACATTTTTTTTTATATGAGAATACGAGTTATTTATAAGAAACAAGCGTGGCTTAAGATAAGTATATATACAGCAGCTGTATATTTACGGTGCCAGGCTGCAAACACACATCAATCAAGCAGAATTTCATTGAAGTAGCACAAGCATCTCATTAAGCATGCCACATGATTTCAGTGCTAATGTTGTAAGTTCACATCATTGCCAGTAATTAAAGGAAACGTGCATAGCATTAATAACGATCGATAAAATGTAATGACACCCAAATTCCGGGAAAAATCATAACTAATATTTGTATTTATACATTATGTGTTTGGATGTAACTGTCTCCTATCAGTGACCTACATTATAATATATATGACACATCCACACAGTGAGACGAAGCGGAGACACGCATGCTAGGCGTGGGCTCGGTGCCAGGCAGACACCGACATGCAGTGCCACTGCACCTAACCGGTGTCGCAACTAACACTAATTTCATGCAGGGCTGACTCGAGCTAATTCTTCACCTCCGAGATCCGAAATTTAGATCTTCTTTTATGTTGTTTAATGCTTTGGTATTCTGCTTGTGCTCCCCAGAACACCCAACTCATGCTAAATATTTAGTAACTTAACATATGAGGAGCCTCACTATAAAACTTACAATTTCATCTCGGGAATAGTTGATCGCGATACGAGCCTGAAATTGCTATTTTCGTGTATAAAATAAAAACTTTTCGTACACGAGAACTGCAAATGAATTAATTGTCAAGGCCAACTCGATCTGTTGTTCAAAAACTTTACAACTTCGTTAAGCAGATGCAAGTATCACAAATGAGTCTGCTGATTCAAAAGTACAAATTCAGTAGTAGATAAAAATCGACTGTACTTTGAAGACATTACATTTTTGGAGCTTGAGCGACTCCGTTTTTTTAGATAAAAGTTTTATTTTATGAAGGTTGTATTATGGAAATATCCCTGATATTGGGGCTTCTATCAATTAAAATTTTGTATCCGTTCCAGACATATCAGTGTTTCTTAAGGCGTAAGTTTGGCATTGGATAAAAAATTAGCGCTGGTGACCAAGTTTGATGAAGATAGTAGATACCGAAATAATGCGGCTAACATTGATATATATCGCGGACACAAATGATCAGCAGAATGGTTTTGTTGCAACATTTGGCACAAGCGCTATTCCTACGTAGAGTTAGTTGGGAGGATGCGCGCCATGGAAGCGTCTGCTGGACATGCGTATTTGAACAGGTGCGCGCAATGAAGATATAAAATATGTCAGAGCCTACAGCAGAGCCGTGCTTGCCACAAGTCATCTCTTGCACACCTCAGTATCTAAGCCTTACATGAATCAAGAAATACATTTACCCTGTACCGCAGTATATCACTCTTCGGGAACACAACTTTCAACTAAATTATACGTTAACTATTGAGTGAAGCACAGTAGCAACCTGAGGACATTTGTACGCAACAGAGAACATTTTAAAGTTGTCGTACGTGGCAGCAACCATCAGTGCAAGTCATTATGCGCTCACTAGAACGTATCTTTTTTTAATTAGCTTGTGACAATATTGCTCCGACTACTCATATCAGGCGGTAGAGTGTTAAGTAGTCATTAGATAAAAATACGTTAAATCATAATTTGAAATAAACAGTAAAGCAAACGTTACATTTGAAACAGCCGCACAATGAGTGATGCAAGGTAATAAAATACATTATAACGATCGTGCCTTTGAAACGTTCCGCGCATGCTGCATGATGATCTTGAGCGCAGGTACTATTTCTCAGATGATCCTAGAGTTTTGAATTATAATTTAGAGTTTAGAGCGAGTTTTTAAACTCATTATTTTGTGGAAGGAAAGAATAGAGAGCATCGCGACGCATTTAAACTGTTAATCTGGGCGTCATTTCCTAGGAGCTGATCCAAGTCTCACGCAATTCACACGAATAATCATTGCAAATTATTACCACAATTTTTTCATCAATCACTTTGATGATAATATTAGTAACTGTCGCAATGTTGCTCTAACAATTTTCAACTTACAGCTTCACTAATCCGGTTACAACGTCACGATTAACTTTATTTTAACGAGAATCGACGATACGGGATGCAGGTGAGCAAGATATCAAGGCGCCATACGAGAACCAAAGCAACAGTGAATAAAGTGACATGGTGCAAGCGCAAGCCAGGGATGACCATATTATTCATACGGGATGCACGATATCACGACGCGTCACACGAGTCTAGCGTGATCAGCAGCACGCGCAGTCATTGCTGTCGTCAGAGAATTTCCGACCACGCCGCTGCACCGCCATTTCATACAGCGTTGGATGCGGTGTGAGACACCGCGCTGCATCGTAGTGTCCAAGACAGCTCATAAAGACATAAAAAGACATAAAAAATAGTATACGGCGATACTAAACAATTGTGAGATACAGACCACACACCCTCGTAATTATAATAAAAATTGGTACTCGCAAATTATGTATAAGAAATAACATTAAATTTGAAATATTAAAAAAACACAACTTATGCCAGGACTATAAAGGCAGTTCGCATTATTGAAGAAAGTAGTGAAATTCATACTGATGTTCGTAGCACAAGTATCGCTTGCTCCAATTATTTATATTATTCATTTTCAACTGTGTAAGCTACAACTAACATTAGCTCGTATATCATAGAAAGAGCTGGGAAACCAAAGCATACGTACCTACCATCAACTCGAACAAGACAAGACAAATGGAAGGGTCTGCTGCAAGGAAATCATTTTGCACGGCGGATACCAAAAATCGTCGGATTCTTGGTATCCGCGTCGAGGGGGAAACAAAAAAATGACAGGATTCTCCTCGTAGAAGAGAGCCCTGTCAAGAAGATGAGCCCACAGCGCTGCTCTCACACGTCTCAGCACAACACGTACAACACAGCACAACCAGGCACTGCTACATGCACAGACACGCGTGTGGCAAGACTAGTATTGACCCAAGACACGATCATCAGACATCGCATTACGATTAGGAGATCCACACCGCACAGCGTTGAGAGATTGTAATCAGGTTAGGTAGGAAAAGACCGTATTACTTATTATTATTAGGGACATTCCGTGACATGAGATATCATCTGACCCTTCAATTTGAAATACCACGATGTACTTGGCAATAGTAATGCAGTGTGAGTCATTCAAATTTAAATTCTTTCTTATTTGGTATGTGTAGTGTAAATAAGTTGATAAAGTCAGAAGTAAAACGAGAGTAAACACTGCACGCTAGATACATCATTGGGCCAGTCAAGAGATGCTGAACGGTGTGATTTTTACCTGTGAGCACTGAGCAGCAATGAAATTCTTGGCTTGTCTTGCTAAAAGTTAAGCGAAATGTTAATACATCGGTATGCCAAGTAAATGATCCATCATTATTGCCAGGTAGATAATTCCCGTATATCACTGACGGTCAATAAGTTTAGCTTGATAAAGAGAGGATACTATCGACACGACCAAGTGAAGCCTGTGAAAATCATGCACAGCCTTGAGAAGAGCAGCAGCCATGGTCAACCTCGCACGCACGTCTCGTCTCAGCGCAAGAAAATTACTGTAAAAACCAATATCTTGTTAGTCACTTCAACCTCGCGAAGGCGATTTAATCGAATCAAGAAGAAGATGCGTCGAGTCCGAGTTTGGTACGAAAACATTAGCAGAAAATTTCGTTTGAACAGGAATAACTATGAGAAGCAAGGTTATTCATTCAGTATTAATTATATAGCATGCAGATCTCAGATCAAGACAAATGAACAATGCGATAGGTTTGTTTGCAAGCTCTCGGTAATGTAACACGAATGAAGCCTGATATAAATTGAGCATGCATGCGTGGAAGCGTGCGTCTGTCAAGAATGTAGAACTGGAGAGAACTGGGCTGAGTTATTATAAGCCTAATTTAGAGAAAGATTAATGCAATTCGCAGATAGAAGTTCAATAGCCTTGAATTAAGAGTAGAAATAATACAGATTTATACAAAACGAGCAAGTATTTTACACATTAATAAATTAGGCAGCTTGCATTTGAAATCAATACGGCATGCGAACATGATACTTGTTTTTAGTCGAAGCATTATACCCTTTATATATAAATGGTATTAAATATTGAGACGACTTCGAACTTTTCATCATCAATTGCTTATTTTCAACAGGCTTCACATTCCTCACATATTATTAAAAACTGAATAGAAAGACGAGCAATATGCGGTTTAGCAAGCGGATCAATTATGAACAATTTGTTTGTTACACAACTGTCTGCCACATTAAGGAACATAAAGTTCGTCATGACGACCATGCGAACTCAAGAACTGCGAACTGCTGCCGACCCAGGAGTAAAATAAGGAGTAAAATAACTCAAGTGAATATTTTTTCATTGACTTTTCATGTGAAGCAACACACGACAGAAAATAGACCATTAAACGAGAACGCCCGAAACATAGTGTAATGCTACTATCACACATCAAACTTTCAAAAACAAATGGTATTTGACAATTTACGAGGAGCGCGAGCCAACCGTTACTCTTATCGTCACAGAACTCCATACAATTCAGATAAACATACTTTCAACGCTCGTAAGATCAAGATAACTGACTACCTCAACAAATCGCAAATAATATTTATTCAGATAAAGAGCTATAGAAGCTATCTTACTCGAACTAATTTCCAAATGAAGGGTCAGCAACCAGATCAATCATTTAATTCGCTTCAATTAACCCTGCAGGACAATTACAAATCGTCATAAGGAGCATTTAAAATTCGAACTCGGCAAGCCAACATCTATTAGCAAAATAAAACAAAGCATGTCCTCTGGATCCTAGAGGGCATTGAACGAGCTGTTTCTAGATCTATTGATCTAGAAACGAGCTGAGCATTCGTATGAGCGCCTGCTAATACGAATGAAGTGGAGCACAACGACGATTACCCAATTTTCCATTCCCCTGTACTGATGTTATCTCATCGTTTC